TTATATGCTGATGACACTGTTCTGTTAGCAGAAACCAGTTCTGATTTACAAAATATGTTAAATGCTTTCTCAAGCTACTGTAAAAAATGGAAGCTGATTGTTAATGTCGATAAAACAAAAATACTAATTCTTTCAGGTGGTAGAATTCCACAAAACTTGAATTTTTTATAGATGATAGTAAAATTGAAATTGTCAAAGACTACAAGTACCTTGGTATATTTTTCGCAAGAAGTGGTTCGTTTTTGACAACACGAAAATATCTATATGAGCAAGGTATGAAAGCAATGTACTCTGCCTTGAAAAAATGCAGACAGAACAATCTATCTATAGAGTGTCAGTTAGATATTTTTGATAAAGCTGTAGTGCCAGTTCTTCTATAGGCCTCAGAAATTTGGGGTTTTGAAAATTTTGATTTATTGGAACGTATTCACCTCAGATTTTGTAAGATTATTCTACATTTAAAACAAAGTACACCGAATTTTATTGTTTATGCTGAGCTTGGCAGATATCTTATATCATTAAAGGTAAAAGTTCGTATGATAAATTTCTGGGGCAGATTATTAAATGATAAAGAAAGTAAAATATCTTGTCTACTATATAAACTTTTATTCTTTAATTTTACTATGTATGGATATGAAAACAAGTGGCTTGTTTATATAAAAAATATTCTAGACAGCTGTGGAATGTCAAACATATAGAGTATGCAATTTGCGGATAAATGGGTATCAAAAAGTGTTGAACAAAAACTGCAAGACCAATATAAACAGCCATGTTTGTCAGATATAGATGCAGCACCAAAAGGGTTATGTTATAGAATTTTTAAGACAGAAATTAAGTTAGATAAATATTTTAATATTTTGTCAAATACCCATTTGTATACATTGTGCAAATTTAGATGTGGTAGTCACCGATTGCCAGTTAAGACGGGAAGATGGCAGGGTCTTGCAAGAGACAATAGAGTATGCCATCTTTGTGACTCAACTAACATTGGTGACGAATACCACTACATTATGACTTGCGAAGCACTTAAAACAGATAGAACAAAATTGTTATCTAATTATTTTTGGAAAAAATCCAAACACATACAAATTTTATGTTTTATTCAATTCTACAAATACTGTACAACTAGAAAAACTGTGTAAATTTATTAAAATTATTAATGTGAAAGTATGTCCTCCTAGTTGAAATATGTAACTTACATGTTGTATTTCACACATGCATGTAGTTAATCTATTTATGTATATATATGTACCATTCTCTGTAACTTTGTATTTAGTTTATGAAAATAAAAGATTCATTCATTCATTCATGGCTAACCCTCCTTAATTGGGTTAGTTTTTATCATACATTTCTTATCAATTTTCAAGATTTCAAAATTATTTCAGATTCAAACAATTTCTTGTTTTTGAATTAAAGAGTGCTGCACCCCTCTTTGCATTTACATGAAAGAAACCCCTGACCACCAGCTTTTAAAAGCTTTTTAATTGCGTCACGTAGCAAAAGTTGAAGCTCATGAACCGTTGCTGCAAATAAACATGGGTCTTTAACAGCTTCAATTTGAATTCTAGACAAATATCCTGTTATAATTCCTGCAGCTGTTCCAACGCGGTACTAAAAATTCTTGGTAAACAAATGATTGTGCTTTCATGTATTATTCTCTGCTAGGTTCATAATTTATTGGATAAATGTAATTATCCTGCTGGTCAACAATGCTGGTCATGTTTACACTATTATATCAAATGAGTAAAGAACCAAAAGAGTGTTCACAAACACCAGGGATATATATCTTTGACAACTTATTAAAACAATTGACCCCAAAATAATGAACAGTCCAAAAGTGTTCAAAAATAGCTGAATACAAAAATGTTTTCCTCGAGGTAATTAAAATGTATAACAGTTAAAAATATATAAAAAGCCATCTTTTCTGTCATATTAAATTATCATATATCCTTTGTACAAGTTATAAGTGAATTTTAGTCAAATTTTGAACAAATTGTAATTTGTACAAGCATTTTTTGTACAAATTACAATTTGTACAAAGTTAACATACAAATTATAATTTGTACAAAATGATAACTTGTACACAACATATATATTCTCAAGATAAAACATTGTTGATTACAAATAAATGTTCTTAAAACATATTTTCATGAATTTTCATTGATAATATTAATAGATATATGAAGCAATAAAGAATTCAATTTTGCACTCGATAACGTCAGCGTATTTATCATGTTTATATATACGCAGTAAAGCGCTGTTAAAAGCATACTCAGAAACTGCCATAGCATTACTTCGGATGACCTCCTCAAGGTCATCCGAGTAAAAAAGTACTTATTCTAAGTATATCTACATAATAAAAAAAAACAAGTTGTTTTCTTTAAAAAAAAGAAAAGCAGTACGTGAACCCGATACCGCTGACTGGTCACCAAACATTGTTGCTGAATTTTTGTTTGCTTTTGATTTGAAATAATTGACTGTGAATAGAATAAGATAATGATGATGTTAAAACGCCTTCATTGAAAATATGTAATTGTGTGTAGATTCTTGCACAAGTCAATTGAAAGCAATGTTGGATAGTTGTGAATAGAAAAGTGTATATATATACTGCTACTATTTGAATTTACATTTTAAGGCTTGACTGTTTTATTTATTACTTGGGAGTGTACATCATTTTTTCATAATCCTATTGCAAATCCCAGTTTCTGCAAACCTGATGTCTAATGCAAATTGCAAAAACAAAATCGCAATATAAATTTAAGCACTCAGTTTTATAATCTGGATGCATTTATTTTATCTATCATATCTTCATATTTTGTTTCCTGGGTGTCTTCAATTATATTTATACTCGTTATTGAAGCTGTCTGTACTCATGTAGATGTTGCATAGATAAATTTAAAGCCCAATTTCAATGTGAAGTGAAACAGTGTGGCATGCAACTTGTAAGAAGGTTTCGTATTTTTTCTTGAGAGTAACATACCAGCTTCATTGGGACGGGCTTATATACTGACAATTATTTTGGTCTCATAAGACATCTCAAATTTTAAGGATTTCCTGAAGTTACTTAAATCAATCCAAATATTCTACAGGAAAACTTGGTTTTGAAGAATATCTTATTTTCAGAAGTTTTATGAATACCTGAACATACTCTCAAAAGGACGTGCAGGATAGCTGGTCAACACAATGGATACAATTTTCAAAATCATACCATATTGCAAAGTTTAAGATGCTATAAGGTTGAACTATTAAAAAAATTAAATTTAATCATTAACATACATTCCTGTTAATGAATCTTTTCCGAAAATTTAGAATATAATATCAATAAACACCAGCTTCAAGTATTTATTGATGGACATTTTATTTATCAAATCAATCTGTTCTTAAACTCTAACTGTCTACTATATGAATATATTGCTATACAAAATATAAGCAAAGACTTATAAATCCATACTAAAACAGTATCAAATTATTAACGTAGTAATGAATATTGTTAAATATTAATTACCGTGTTTTTTTTGTGAAATGCAAGGATTTAAAATCCTTGTGAATTGAAACCATGCAAGTATTTTTTCATTTACCACCGTTTAAAATTTAGATACTAACTTGTGTATACGCATCCCTGCTCATTAGTGCATATAATTTTCATAAATGCATTCACTGTTCAAACCTGTGGGGCACAATACACGTATATATAACATTTTTAATTATATTCTATTAAGGATAAGTTTAGTCTCAGTTTAAACTTAATAATTTTAATGAATACAGCACGCTGTATAAAACTACACACACAACACGTACAGGGACCGTCTCAAAGCATGACTTATATAATTGCGTTATCATTATAATACGTGATATTTAATAAACATTCGCATCATTAAAAACACTTATGTTTTGTCAAAAGGCAAATAGGTTCTAACATATAAATGATTTTTTGACTGCAACCTAGTCTTTATTTCTTTACTATCCGATCTACAAATGAACTTTGATTGTTGAAATATAAAATGTCAGGTGGTAGCCTATCCATAGAGGGACCGTATCAAAGACATAGATAACTACCTGTATAAATGATCGAAAATTTTCGAGAAGTTCCGAGAATCTTGTTTCCGGAAAGATCCGAATGGCCCATAGAAGCTACAAAAACCCACCAAGACTATACTTCACGAGAATATTTCACTCAACGAAACAATAACAATTGTATCTTTCGTGCAATAATTTTCCAACGTCAATAATAAATCAAGAATAACATTACAATGCACTTTCTTTAGTTTGTTCATTTTAAGGTACTACAATGTCTTTAGTAAAGGGTCTTTATTTTGACAGTGAATTTAGTAAATTTGTCTTCTTTAGACGTCTAGGGGTTTATTCCAATAATGGTTAACATGTTGTGAAACAACACATCTTTAAAACTTTAATTAATTTTGCCATAGCTATTCATTTGGTTTTTTTTTTAAATATTTCTCCAAAACAATATTAAAGAATACTCATTGTATACGTTGTTTACTTTATCGGTAATTAACACAACCCCAATTCATAGTCATAGACAGTAAACAAACTTTTTTGAAACATTTCTCTAGAGAATCGGTTACACTAGCTTTATGGATATCAAATGTATATTCGAAAAGGAAATTTAATATAAGCTTTTAATTTGTTTCACATGCATTTTCAACCTAGACCTATTTAAAGTGAACTAAGAAAGCATAAAATATGCCTCCATTCTTGTCGAGAGCTTCCTCAGTGCAAACAACGTAATCAATATTGAATCAAAATTTAAGTGTTTGGTCTTAGTTAAAAATATCGGGAACACCAATTCACTACAGATAAATGCCAGTCAAGCGATTTAGACTCTGATTTCCAACTTTGGGATTTAGTGATCTACATGTGAAAATTAGCACAATCAGTGCAATAAGACAAACAAAATTTGAATTGCATTTATGAATTTATATTGATACGTGTGTCAAATGGAGATTCAATTACACAAACTTATATCTTTCCTGGCAAAACAATGACGCTTTCTGATATCAAAAGTTTTTTATTGTTTGTCCACTCCACCACTCTTCTTTATAATTTGAGTTACAAAATTCGTCGTCTGGTAAGCTGAATGCCGGGTGATCTTTTGACTTTTCCATGATTTCCTCCTCTTGTTTACGTCTTTCGACGCGACTGGCACAACATCTGAAATACCAATATCGGTTTACATTCAAGGACACAAAATAAACATGAACGATAAACCACATTTTGTTATTTGTGTTTCTGCTTAGTTTCCGATCTGAGGAGTCCATCACTTTTCAGTTTGTTCTAATTTTGGGTTGTAACAACTTAGCAGTGCGAGTTTTGATGTTTTACCTAGCCTTATTTTGTATTGTGTATAAAGCCAGGTTCCTCGAGTTGTATGTTTGTTGTCGTCGGTTGCTGTCTGTCATTATCATTCAGCCCGTTAGCTTTCTCTTTTGAATTGTTCGCATTTTTTTTATCCCATGTTTTGAATAGCTTACTACTGTATATGGTATGGGTTTTGCTGATTGTTTAAAGCTGTAAGGTGACCTGTAGTGGTTAACATCCTCATAATTTGGTCTTGTGTGGACACTTGTCTAATTGGAAATCATGCAAATCTCCTTATTATTTCATTAACATGATACTAGTAAATTAAACTTATTGAGTAGCTATCGCATATGTTCTGTGCATTTAAATTGTTTTTAAACTATCGAGGCTTAATTTAGAGCAGATATCGTTCTCTCAGGCTCGACGCTGATTTCCTTTCCAAAGTTTTAAAATACATAGATACGGATTGATGTGGCCTTCAAGTACGTTTAATTGTGCTGTTCTTGGTTAACAATTTGACAACTTTTGCTTCATTGTGTTTTTAGTTTTTTTTTTTTTCATTAAAAATTTTGTATATCTTAAAACAGATAGATAAAATGAGTTCGAAAAGTAGCATGAGTTGTGTCAGCAAATATTATTTTTACTTCTGAAATTAATTGGTGTGATGTTGGAAGACTTGTCGTAAAAACAGCAGTTCCAAATTATATCAAGTAAGATGTTGACACGGAAGGTGACCGCCATGGACTTATGATAAACAACTATAACGTGTCACGAGTTCAGAGGAGTATCTCAGAAACTTGCTTACCTCAAATATGGCTAGTTGAAATGAAAAAGTAGGAATCTTTAAATTTAGATTATGATAATGCGTGTTACATACAGTATGTATGTCGACAAACGGTACTAAATTGCGAAAATAATGGTATTTTTTTTCTGTTTACCGTAATAATTTCATTTACCCATACGACACAAGAAATAAGAAGAAATGCAGACGGGTTTTTTGACAATTGACTGTGAACTGAATTGTCACATGTTCTATAAAGATTCGGTCGTTCTTTTTGTCTCAAAATACATATAACTTAAACTCATTATCGTTGTACTTACGGAAGTGATTCTTCAGCTTGATGGTATTTCTTTTGTATTTTATCCTGACAACGACCGAGACAGGGAATCGTGTCCTTCTTACACCAAAACAAATAGATATAAATAACAGCTAAAGTTATGAATGTCAGTCCTATACCCAGGCTCATGGCAAGAATTTTCTTCCACCTAAAACAAAGAAAAGTCATTATCAATACGAGGTGAACTGCAATCTTCAGTCAGGAATTTATTTATTCAATTGAAAGTGCTTCTTATTCGGTGCCGATTGATGTGTTTGAAAGTATCCAAATGCTTGAAATGTTAAAAAAAATGTCGTTACATGGAGTTACTCGTACACGTTTCAATTTAATCAAAATAAGTTCTCCGCACTTGTTCGATTTCCTCATTTTCGTTCGGTTGTCTTTATGTCGCGTGACATTAAAACCGAACAGAAATGAGGAGCAAGTGCGGTGGACTAATTTTAATACGTTTAAAAAATGCGTATTGTCAGAGCTATTACGTATTATCATATAATAATGTCTCTGGTATAGTCATATCATGTTAATATATTTATATATATAGATGAGGTGCGGTTCTTTTTCGAAGGAGGTGGGTGTTGGTGATTCAGTTGGTGTGTTGAACTGTAGTACATTTTTGTCATATTATATTTTCTAAATTATTTTCTGGTGATTTGAACAGTAATGGTTTTTTTCAAATTTTTTTACTTATTACAATTGATAAATGACATTGAATTTGTTTAATTAAAAAATCATTCATTGGAAAACAAATTTTATAAACGATAGATTCTGAATAATTCTGACTTATTTTCCATTATTTGGTGAAAAGCTGACATTTTATGAGTCTATTTGTTTTTTGTAAATTAAATATTTAAGTAAACCCGTCTGATAATTTTAATAACTTTGATAAATATTGTTTTTCGTTTATTGTTTTGTACATAAATCAGGCTGTTTGATGTTAGATACATTTGTCATTTTGGGTCCTTTTTTAGCTGAATTTGCGGTATGGTTTTTGTTCATTGTTGAAGGCCGCACGGTCACCTTTAGTTGTTAACTTCTACGTCATTAGGTCTCTGGTGAAAATTTGTTTTATTGGCAATTATACCACATCTTCTTATTCTTATATTGACTTCTTTTGTCCGGAGATTGATCTTTGGTAACACAAATACAAATACATATATACCTGCCACCAGGTTCGCAACACCCAACACTTCCCTCTATTTTACAACACTTAGTTCGTCCTGCTGCAACCATTTCTTTTGATGTACAGTCAATATAGTTGTCGGCTGATGAAGCTGGTAAAGTGTCATCCACTACACAGTTTTGATCATCATAAGACACTGGAAAGTGTCAATTGCATATAGTAATTAGTAGTAATAAAGATTTTTTAAAAAGAAAAACGGAATTGTTACGGTTCACTGATTTCTTATTGATAAATTAAGACCAAATTAAAGATTTAAAAAAAAGGAGGGGCGAGCAGAGGGGCCCATCGAAAAAAAAAATTGTTGAATGTAAAAACTTAGAATACATTTATCAACTTCCACTATACCTTTTAGCAATTTTCCAACCTGTCTGTAATTCGTTTCTAATTTCTACCAAGAAAGGGGGCAATCACAAGTCAAATAAGTACACAACACATTAAAAAACAAAAAACAAAAAAACCGACAAATGACTTTACAAGAAAAATCTCAGGACACGTACAATTCGGCAATAAGTCTGATTAGGTGACAATGATATTAATAAAAGAAAAATATAATACTTACTAGATTCGACATAGTCCATACAGATATTGCTAAATAAAAATATCAAACTAAACGTTAGTGTGGAATGCATGTCGCAAAACTTTGAAACTTTTCAGGTTTATAACTGACAAAACACACCTGGACCAAGAAATATACTTAAGGAAAAAAATTGATTAATAAAAGAAAACAGTTTACTCTTCATTGTGTTGCTTTTAACTTTCGATTATTTCATTGACAATGAGTATAAGCAAATGGTACAATTTATTGACAAATCTATTTATATGTAACTGTATGAATTATGTAAACAATTAACGTCTGCTGAACCAAGGATAAAAAATACAAATCGAAAATTAAAATTTAGGTCATTTCATTTTATAAAAAAATCATGTTTTCTTGGAAACAATACATTTACATTATGATGAACATTATTATGAAATATATTTTTTGTTACAAATTCACACAACCTGTAAGTTGAGTTCATTGCTTAGTGCTTCATTTGTTTATTTTGGGAGATCCAATATATATATCTACATATTTGTTTGTTCACCAATACAAAAGATCGAATCAGAACTTTTAGGACATCCGAATTTTTGTATTTTGTATTAAATGAAATATACATGTCATGCATGTATTGCTGGCCTGGCCCCTTTCTGAACACAGGTCAGTATATACAGATTAAGAACCATTATATGTGTGAGTTTGCTTTAGCAGAATTGTGTACATGAATCCGGAAAAAAAGTCACTCTTAATAAATTCAGTTACACTTTGTAATGACTGGATTTATGACTCTCAGAATATGATAAAGCGAGGACAGTTTTATCAACATTTGGTCACAAAAGGCTTCCTATAACAAAATGAAATCCTTGAAATATAGCATTGTATATTCATTTGATAATTGAGGATAATTTTTTACACTTATCATTGAATTTTGCATCAATAAAAATCTGTTTGATAAAAACCAAAATGCTGGATGTGAAATAATTGCCAATGAGACAACTCCCCACCAGAGACCCAATTGCAAAGAAGTTAACAACTAAAGGTCACTGTACGGCCTTCAACAATAGGCAAAAGTTAAACCCATACCGCGCGGCAAAGTCAGCTATAAAAGTCCCGAAATGACAAATGTAAAACAATTTAAACGAGAAAACTAACGGCCTGATTAAAAAAAAACAATCATCGAACGAAATACAAATATGAGATACAGCAACAAACGACAACCACTGGATTACAAGCTCCTGATTTGGAACAGGTACATACAAAATGTGGGTTAAATATGTCAGCGGGCACCCAACCCTCACCCTAACCTGGGACAGTTGTGTAACAGTGCAACATATGAACAATGCAATGACTTTGTCTTCTCTGCTTTAATGACCTTGATTGATTTAACGTTGAAAGTCTTACAGAAAAAGGTTTAACAATAAGCATTACAAAATCTTAATATTATCAATGATCAATGAAAATAAGGTCAAGGTCGGGTAAATCATGGCAGATATACATGTACACCTTACAATCATTCCATACACCAAATATAGTTGACCTTTTGATTATAGTAGAAAGGAAACAAACCAAACCATGAACATTAAACATTGAACCATGAAAATGAGGTCAAGGTCAGATGATAAATAACAAACAGACATGTACACATTACAATCATTATATGCACCAAGTATAGTTGAACTATTGCTAATAATATCAAAGCAACAGCCTTAACCAGGAAAACTAAATATTGACCAATGAACCACAAAAATGAGGTCAAGGTCAGATGAACCCTGCCAGACAAACATCAATACCCTACAATCATTCCACACACCAAAAATAGTTGACCTATTACAGTACTTATAGTATCTTAGAGGAGGACCAAACTTCAGAAACTTAATATTGACCAATGAACCATGAAAACAACTGATATCTACCAGGCAGACATGTACACATTACAATCATTCCATACATTAAATATAGTTCACTCATTGCTTATAATATTTAAATCAAAGCATCATGGATGTTGTGATTCAGCCAACTTTGTAGCTAGTCTTGACATTTTTTCTGACCATACTTTCAATAATTATTTTGTTATCTTCATTTCCATAATCTCACTGTAAATTTTCTAATCTATTGCCAAAAGATGGCAAATTTTGCAATATTGATGCAAATTATTTTGGTATTTCAATTGAAGACACTGTCAGATTTTTATACATCTTTTTTTTAGAAACATTTGAAATTCAATGACTCTGACAAGAATGTTAAAGGAAATCTTCACTTTCTCAACAACAACAAAAATAAATAACTAACTTTTACCTAAATTGGTGTTCATTCTTCATTAAAGAAACAATACATTCCTGTATTCAAATATAAATGTACAAATACCTAATGCTGAGATAATTTCAATACTGTTAAATAGCAATATAATGGGGAATATACAAATAAATTAATTGCAGAAAATGCTCAGGTAAGAGTTATGCAATTGTGTTTATTGATAGACCTTAAAATCATCAACTTATGTCAGATGGTTATGACACTGATTTTACAAAGTTCTTTTGAGGTCAAGGTTTTTTTATTCAGTTAGATGTGTAATAAATTGAATACACAAATTCTTGACCTCAATACCAGTATGATTATCAACTGTCATGATGTGTTATTATATCTGTGGTCAATTAAAACTGCATTTGAGTGGAGTTTAATCCAATTAATACTTACACCTTTGAGTGTAATTGTTTGAAAATCGTGGCAGCTGTCCATCATACTGGTATTGAAACAATAATCTCATTTGCCTAATGCAAGAATGGGAATAACAGCATTTCAAAAAAGTGTGGGAATCAACTCTGATATCAATACACATCTTGAACCAAATTTTATTCAATGGCTTACAGGAACAGAAGATACTGATAAAATGCCTTAAAATTCTTTATCATTCTTATCAACTGCTTAAATTTGATAAATCACATTTTCCACATTAATTAATAAATGGCAATTTAATATAAATTTTAATTTACAAAGGAACTATATGCAAGTGTATATCTAAAATAAAGAAGTTGTTTGCCCAACCTTTTTTTCATTTAAGGACAATTTACATATTAAAAGTTGGCATTTGATGATTAAAATGGTGTATAAAGTTCCTGCAAGTCATAGAAACACATAATTATTTTCATGATATGTCTTCAACTTAGAATTTTGCACCATCTCCAAATCCGGAGTGATCACATAGATCCAGCATGGTTGAATCAAAAACAGACCAAACACAAACACTTAACATTGACCAATGAACCAAGAAAATGAGGTCAAGGTCAGTTGAAACCTGCCAGTCTGAAATGTACACATAACAATCATTTCATACACCAAATATAGCTGACCTATACTGCTTGTTGTATCTGAGAAACAGACCTTATGATGTTACTTTAACCTTGATCAATGAAAAATGAAATAAAGTCAAGGCCAAGTGAACCCTGTCTGACAAACATGTAGAAGTATCAAACTTAAGGAACCCATATACCAAATACAGTTATCAAACTTATCATATTACTTATAATAAGCAAGAAAAAAACATGAAAAAAGAACCTACTTTTTTTTTTGAGCAGTCACTGAACCATGGAAATGAGGTCAAGGACAATGGACATGTGACAGACAGAAACTTCATGACATAAGGTATCTGCATACAAGTTATGAAGCATCCAGGTCTTCTACTTTCTGAAATAAAAAACTGTATACAACTCCTGCCACCTGATTATAATCCAAATGTCTATCATTCTGTGACTTTAGCCGCCGGCTAGACAAAAATTATTACAGATTTGTCATCACTTTCATTAATCTCAAATAGACTAAAGGAAAAACCCACAAAAACCGCCAAAACCAAAAAGTTTCCTTTCTATGGACAGGCAAACCATCATATAGTGGACTTTAAACAATTTTATTGAGATCTAAACCTCTCCACTTTTATGGCAGAAAAAAAGGTAAAAAATAAAGAATTGAAAATTAATGGGTGCTACAATATAAAGAAAAGAGAATAATGGGCATAAAAAAACAAAAATAGAGAAAAATGGCAATAAATAAACAATGCAGAATTGAAGACATTCTTTAGGGGAGAAATATGGAATAACAAAGTACAGATAAAAAGGCAAAATCAGTCTAGAAAACCACTTAATTCAATAAAATTGGTTTTAACTGAGGAAAAAAGATAATAATTATTTTCATGAATTATGTTAAAATAGCAAATAAACATTAGTTGTCCCTTTCAGCAGAGGGCAAGCTAGATATTGGATAAGTTTTGCAGGTAATATCAGGAAAGTATAGCTATTTTGGAAGCCATGAATTTCATAGAAGTCCTTTACTTTTTTGTCTTTGGGTTGCTGTCTCATTGATTTATACCACACATCTCCTTTTATTCATACTAAAAACTCTCAAGTCATACATATTGGATGTAAAATCAGGCAATGAGCAGTCAGTACACATTACTATATCTTTATTGTATACAATACACAAAAGTAATGTATTTACACAATTTTATTAGTCAAGTATTTAATCATTGTAATTTGCATATTCTGCATAACAATCAAGTTTCATAGATTTTTAAAACAATTTGATCATACAATTTTATAAATTAATAATTATAACCTGTAAACTATAATATGTACAGTAAGCTTGGTCTCTCAATTGACAGTCAAAGCCAGTGTAGTCCAAATATTGGGGGAGTTATCATATTAAGTATCAGAATGGTAATTCAAATAGGGTTTCAGTGAATATTACACAAACATAAAGAGGACAACTAAAGCTTTAAAAGGTGAGCAGACTAAAAAAATACAGCATTGAAGCACCGAACATTTAGTTATAACATATTTCTAAACTCAATAAAATGCTCCGCTGGGGCGCAGCTTGATACGACCGCAGAGGTCGAACCCTGAACAGTTGGGGCAAGTATGGACACAACATTCAAGCTTGATACAGCACTGAATTTGGATTGTGATTAAATATTTGACACAGCATAGGTTTCTGACACAGAATGAATGTGGTCTAAGAAATTAAATTTTTTTAATTTACCTATTCAAACCATATCATTATTATTTGCTTTTATATATAAATCAGAAATAACCAATTCAAAATGGAAAATTTTAAAGAAAAAAAAAATCCCTCCACTAAATTTTTTGAACCCCCTTATGATTCATCACCCCCAAACTCAATCCCAGCCTTCCCTTTGTGGTATGGTACCTTGCAGTACAATTTCAGAGAGATCCATACACTTGAACACAAGTTATTGTCTGGAAACTAGAAAAATGCTTGTTTTTAGGCCCCTTTTTGGCCCCAAATTCCTAAATGTTTAGGGCAATTACCCCCAAACTTAAACCCAGCTCTCCTTTTGTGATATGGAACCTTGTAGTACAATTTCATAAAGATCCATACACTTACACACAAGTTATTGTCCTGAAACTAGAAAAATGCTTGTTTTTTGCCCCTTTTTGGCCCCTAATTCCTAAAATTTTGAAGCAATTACCCCCAAAATCAATCCGAGCATTCCCTTTGTGGTATGGTACCTTGAAGTACAATTTCAGAGAGATCCATACACTTGAACACAAGTTATTGTCTGGAAACTAAAAAAATGCTTGTTTTTAGGCCCCTTTTTGGCCCCAAATTCCTAAACGTTAAGGGCAATTACCCCAAACTCAAACCCAGCTTTCCTTTTGTGATATGGAACCTTGTAGTACAATTTCATAAAGATCCATACACTTACACACAAGTTATTGTCCTGAAACTAGAAAAATGCTTGTTTTTTGCCCCTTTTTGGCCCCTAATTCCTAAAATTTTGAGGCAATTACCCCCAAAATCAATCCCAGCATTCCTTTTGTGGTATGGTACCTTGCAGTACAATTTCAGAGAGATCCATACACTTGAACACAAGTTATTGTCTGGAAACTAGAAAAATGCTATTTTTGGCCCCTTTTTGGCCCCTTATTCCTAAACGTTTAGGGCAATTACCCCCAAACTCAATTCCAGCTTTCCCTTTGTGATATGGAACCTTGTAGTTCAATTTAAAAAAAATCCATATGCTTACACACAAGTAATTATCATGAAACTAGAAAAATGCTTGTTTTTTGCCCCTTTTTTGGCCCCTAATTCCTAAAATTTTGCAGCAATTACCCCCAAAATCAATCCCAGCATTCCCTTTGTGAAATGGAACCTTGTGGTACAATTTCAGAGAGATCCATACACTAACACACAAGTTATGTCTGGAAGTTACAAAAATGCTTATTTTTGGCCCCTAATTCCTTAACTGTTGGTACCATAACCCCCAAAATCAATCCCAACCTTCCTTTTGTGGTATTGAACCTTATGGTAAAATTTCATGGAGATCCATTCACTTAAACTAAAGTTAGAGTGCGAAAACCAATGTGTCTTCGGACGACGACGCCGGACAGCGACGTCGACGACGCCATACCAATATACGACCAAAAAATTTTTAATTTTTGCGGTCGTATAAAAATTGATTGAATTTTATGAATTTTTAAATATATTCATTTATATAACAAAATAGATATAAGAAGATGTGGTATGAGTGCCAAATGAGACAACTCTCCATCCAAGTCAAAATTTATAAAAGTAAACCATTATAGGTCACAGTACGGTCTTCAACAAAATGACTATTTTGTGACAAATTGTGTTATTCTTAATGGCTGCTATTTCATGAACAGGTAGTTCTACTAATTGTTTTGTTCATTTAGTTTAATTTAAAAAGTATTATTCCATTCATTATTTGAGAGGGCAGCCAGTGAACCAGAAATGTGTCATGAGAGGGCAGCCAGTGAAACAGAATGTGTCATGAGAGGGCAGCCAGTGAACCAGAAATGTGTCTTGAGAGGGCAACCAGTGAACCAGAATTGTTTCATGAGAGTCTAGCCAGTGAACCAGAATTGGGACTTCTAATATGCCATGTTTCAGACATTATTTACAAATAACAAAAGGTTTATTATTATGTACAAATTTTCTATAGGATTTCGACTAGACTTTCATGCTGGTTTTCCTTTATGAGAAATCATTCAGTAACTTTTTATTTTAGACATGATAACTGTTAGCCTTTAAATTATCAGCCCAGCCTCCAAAATATTATGATGTACCTACATGCTCACATTTCAACAAAGATTTGGTCCACATTTGGATATGATCCTGCATAACCTATCCCACCTCCTCTACCAATCAATCATACCTCAAGATCACCTATGATAGCCTTATTGTTATCAGTAACCATACCCTGAAAGATGTAGCTTATTTGCTTATCTTTGCAGATAAAAGAAAATTAGGCATTTCTGATAACAATGTGTAACAGGTGCATTCATATATTTGATATAAATATCTTTCTTCCTTTTGTTTGTCTTTTAAAGCAAAGTCGAGCATGGAACAATTGGTCACTTGGTATAAAACTGGTGATCAAACATATATGTTGTAACTTTATGGTTTGAAATAAAATTCAACATGTGAAACATGTAAAAAAATACATTTATCAGTTTAATAAACAATTTAAAAATTTGTCAGTGATTATGTTGACCACAAGTAGAAATAGACTTTCTGCCAAGCAGGTAGGTACTGTGCCAATGGACCTATAACAAAAATAAAATATTTATATAGTAGAAATGTGTCATAAACAAAAACATTAATCAAGATTGAACATATTTATAATTAAACATTAACATTCTCACAGCTGAATGCTTTAATTCAAGTATCTTTGATCTTGGTTTCCATGTCCATTTGGACTTTCATCTATTGAAAAGTTTGTGTTTGTAAAAGATATTTGTCCTCTTGAATAAATGTACTTACAAATTTTCCTTGACTGGGCTCAGTGGTTGTTGTTTATTTTATTTTTTTTTTGTACATTAATCACAGAACATTGGTTTTCTGGTTTGAACTGTTTTACCTTTTGTCATGTTTGGGCCTTTAATAGCTTACTATACAGTATGGGTTTCGCTCATTGTTGATGATAACAGTACAGTAACCTATAGATGCTTATATCTATATCATTTGGTCTCTGGTGAATAGTTGTCTCATTGAAAATCATACATCTCCTCTTTTATATTCATGGCATTGCACTTGCACATTATTGAAAACTATATTGTGACCTCCAGATGTCTATTTTGATTTATGTTGTTGGGATGTTGTCTCATTTAATTTTACCACCACAAGTCCTTTTTCATACCACACTTATAACAAAAACTGTGCAATACTTTGAGTATTCCAAAGTACTATCAGGATTTTAAAGTGAAATACACTGGCGATTCAATTAGTTTTTAAGTCATTGGAATACAGTCGTAAAAATGTCTAAACTTGTACTGCAGACTTTGCTTCATGTTGGACATAACTTTGTTTTACATATTTGTACCCACATGTGACTATTATTTTTAAATGTTCATAAAACAAGGAATGCTATTTTGTCTGCAAATAGTCAACTTAAAGGTTGCACTTTGTAAATACAGCTGTTTCACAAACCACGCGTCTTTTGGGGAGAATTTTAATAATCATAGATTTTTTGTTTACCTACTGGTTCCCAGATATGATCTCTATGCTTCATCTCTTAGAGACACAACTTGGGACGGTTACCAGTATAAATACACATGGATAACAGCCAAATTGAATTCTGAGGAAGACCCAAAGTGAAATGATGGGTAGTACAGAATTTTAGTATAAGTTTAAACTTTTAGAAGTTCGAGGCATATAAATGTTGAAAATATGCCACACAGCCCTATGTTTTGACCTTTGAAGAAAATAGTTGCACATATTAACTTTCCATTCTATGATATAATTTTTTTACGAAACTTCATAGTAAAAGTGGCACAGTTTTAGCTGTAAAAGGTGTTCCTATGGGAAATTGCACTGTCTATATTTACAGAAGTGCACCCTTAAATTCTAAAATACAATGAAACCTCTTCTTTCTTCAAAAAAAATTCCATTAATACTTACGTAGAATTAACCCAGTTAATGGAACATGGTCAGATATAAACTGTAATGTGGACAAAATCTTTACTCTGAAATTCACAAGAAAATATTACTGACATTGACATAATAAAACATTACCACTGTGTCGTAAACCAGTAATACCCCACTCCTTTGGTGCGGGGGTATAATTATTCAATTCATTTATAAATTGGATAGTTGAGTACTGTTAATGCTTTGATATATACCGGTAGTCTTAATTTTTGTTATAATTATATTCATCAATTTGCTAAGTGCTAATATAATAAATAAATAAAAAATAATAAAGTCTAAAATGTTAGAATAGAAATTACCACTAAATACGTTTTTTATTTGGTGTACTCTTCCACAAAAATTATTATCTTGATAAATTCTAGGCCCATAAAAAAGGACTAAAAGCTTAGTTAAGTACAGAAGTTTGGCTAAATGGACATCTATTCAACAGATTGGTGCAACTGCTTAAGCCATACCTAACAAGTGCTTATTGGTCATGTTATTCTTAATTGAGCACTCATGAAAAAGTTCTTTTGTGTGATTGTCATCATTCTGACTGGTTTATATTAAAAAAAATGTTCTAACTTCCAATTCCATCATTATTTTTACTTACTTAGTATGTCTATCATACATAGGAGACTTCAATAAATATAATAACAACATGTATGTCCTTTTCTTTATCTCCTGTTTTTCTTCTTGGTTAAGGTCTTGAGGGTCACCAATCATACATAAACTGTAATGAAAAGTATTTACATAATATCTCTAAACAGTGAACTGAAAATTACAGGTATTTCAAACATAATGTAATTTAACAAAAGATTTAAACTTTGAAAAATTAGGGCATTTCTTTTTGAAGTAAAGGTTTTTGATTTCTATTGTCTATCTATAAGAACGATGTCATCTCTATTGGCTGGTTACCGAATCCCAGATTAATTTTGATACTTGATACATTATTGATAAAATATCCCTAATGAATAAGAAAAATACTTGTTATTTCACCTGTGAATGGTCAAAACAGATGGATCTATGGAGATTCGAAGATCTAGCAAATTTCATTTGAACAAAATTACCACAGATTAAATATACAGATCTACAATGTGTAAGGAAGGGGTTTAAGATTTAAATTTTTATTTTGAAAAAATGGACATATCAGGCATAATACAGTAAGCATCCATTTGTCTTTTGTACATTTTTAAATGCATACAAATAGGAGAGATTTCTATATTGGTGACTTATATAATGTTTGTAACAGTGTTCTCCTCAGTAATTTCAAACAGCACAATGGGATCGGAAATAGCACTCTTTCCCTAAAATTATAGCACTACATTCATAATACATTCTATTATAAAACCTATTCAGATAGTAACATGGTAAAAAATATAGCACAATGGTACCAAGGAACTATAAGGTCCTTAAAGAGAACACTGTATAATAGAATGCAATCATATTACCTTGAAACATCAGCAAATCCAGATAACAAGAAGGGCTTCCATGACTCTATCCCAAATAGACGCATGCTAAATACTACAGATATTTAAGGAAAAACTACACTGAACAACAATATTTTCCTGTAGCTTAAAGCAAGCGTTCATAATTGTAATCATGTAAAAGGCATCAACTCTGCTATCTTAATATCAATAGTAGGTACCAATAATCATGGCTGAAAAAAGTACAGGTAGGGCTAAAGGATGCAAATTCAATCAGAAGACTTTGGTTAAAAATATATGTCCTTCTTGTAGGTAAGAAGCTATTTAAAACATGCTGTAGATAGAACCAAGGATTATCACATGATATTCATCTAGAGTGTCACTTACAGTACAGACACATGTCTACTGCCCAAAAATGTAAGTTAAAGGTGCATTAGCTATGAGGTATACAAAAATTTAAATATTTTTTTTTTGTTCAATCATTTTATGAAAGTGAAATAGTGAAATAATAATTAGCTTTTAGCAGCCAGTTTAGTGTATTTTGTCAAAATAAGCTAAGAAACATTGCTGATGAATTATTCACCTGCAAGTGAATAATTCGACCTCATTGAATCTGTATTCATTTGACCTTCAATTTAACCCCTTAGCTAGAGATTGGTTACACATGTATTAGTCGTGTTCAGCCATTAAAAGGGAAAGAATATAAACATTGAAAGTGAAACAAAGGTGAACCATTTTGTTGACCTATTCGATCCACAAAAAATCATTCTGATACAGGTAAAAAAGATGATTAACTTGTTTTTTTAACCCATAACATGCAATCAATCAGACCTAGAAAAGTCCAATTGCACGAGGTCACTATCTATTTATATTTATGTTTATATCGGGTTATGAGACCATCGGCAGTCTTCAAGGTCATTTCGATGATTACTTAGATGCCGTTTAGACTAAAATAAACACGAAATACTGATATATATGTAGGACTCAAATCTATGGTGGGTTCCAAATCAATGGCAAATTCCTAATCTATGGTAAATATTGACGTCACAAATGCCACACAAATTACAAATCTATGGCAGTTTTTTGTTTTCTCCAAATCTATGGCAGATTTGGATATTATGTAATTTTCCGTCACAATTAAATAACGTCATGTGATGTCGAAGCCGCCGTTAACAATGTCGGTTTTGTTATATAGAAGGAAAAGAAAAGGCCAGTTTTCAAGGACCCTAATCCATAAATTAAATTATATTTCAGAACAGAATTCTAGTTTACTTTATCGGAAATCCCTGTAAATGAGATGTAATCATCGGATTCGGCCGAAATAAGAATACTAGCGAACAAACCCAGTCATTCGTAGCAGCAAAATGGCTGGTGCAGGCAATTTCACACAAATGAATATGTTTTTGGTGTTTGCTTCAATGTTTATGTTTCGTGTTTGTTTCCGCTCCTTGTTTTCTTGTTCTTGTGTTTCTGGTGTTGCCCTCACCCTTAATTGCATGAGTTTTACTGTGTATTTTGGTTTGCTTTTTGTTTTTCTTTCATAATTTTTCTTTGTGATAAGCTGTTTTCTTGTTATTTTTTTTATCCCTATGGTCTCTAATTTTCTTTTACATGTAACATAACCAATAGTATTTTTTCGGCTATATAACGGTGACTACCTGTACTTTTGTTTCAAATAAGCTTTATTGAGATTTGGAAGCTTAAAAAAAAATCTGTGATAGATTTCTAATAACTATTTACATTATTTTCAGCTATATTTAAGTCGAATAACTGAACTGTTGGAGAAATAAGCATTTGTTTAAGAAAGCCATGTGTTTGAGGCAAGTTATTGTTCGTTACAGGACTTTGACTTAAATCATCATCAGTTAAAAAAGATTTATTAACGCTCAAATAAATTTTAGGTAAAAAGTGAAACTGCGTTTTGGGTTGTCAAGGGACTTGGTTAAATGAAGGGTCAAACAGATACCATGCAAAGAGTAGGAAATGCTTATTCTTCCGGGCACATCATTTCACCCCAAAAGTCTGTGTTCACTTCACAAATGGTTATGGATATGCTTCCTAGTCGTACTCCTAATCCGTTTTTCTTATACTGCCGTTAAATAAAAAACAGCCTTTTCGCTACCTTTGAACATTTCGACTTGTTTAAGGCAACTTTGAAATGATTGGTCAGATATGTACTGACTGGTCCACCATTTGTAGAAAATTATGTTATAGATTTGAAAACTAGAAATCCGCCATAGATTATGAAACTAAAATAATGCCATAGATTAGGAAACTGAAAAATTGCCATAGATTAGGATTCTAAATAATCTGCCATAGATTGGGATGGCATGATGTCATATTTACCATAGATTAGGAATCTGCCATAGATCTGGAACCAACCATAGATTTGAGTCCTACATATATAATCGAGTCCATGCATTGTTAATTGTTTATTTCGACTTATTGTAATTAAGATATATGTTTTAGTATGTTATAAATCAAATATGAGAATTTGAGTCAAATCCGTGAACATGAATTTGACAGCTAATGTCCCTTTAAACTCTATACTTGCAATAATAATAAAAAAAATCTTATGGCAGGCCATATAGGAGAAAAGAAAAGTATTAAGGATAATTCTTAATCTTTAACAACGGATATCAACATGTAAGGGGGTCTCCTTCAAAGTTGGGAGGGTTATACTACAGGCTAAATAGCAGTGGAAACTTGTTAGGATTCATTTTCTAAAATGTAAATCTGTTTTTACGATTATAAAACATTGTGAAGGCAATCAATGCAGTGACAAAGGATACAGTGTAACAATGGTTTGATTATATAAAAAGTTTCTGCATATAGTCTCTGCTTTGACAATGACGTTGGTGAAATTCCGTACGGTAATTTTTTGTTTTTGGAATAACTGGATTTTTCTTCTGAAGGTAACTTCCAAGTTCTGAAGTTGATTGGAGGAGCTGAAAAGAAAAAAGGAAGTTAGGTACAAAGAGATCATAACTAAAATTCACATTAATAGACAGAGTAACATTATTTAAGTATTGACAATTATCTAGGTTTCAACAATTCTTCCATTTAATAACTTTTCAATCTTTATCCCAACTGCATTAACCAATTTATTAATTGTCCTTCTTTGGATAGCAAATGGAGACATTGAAATGCCTATGGTTTTTTGTGGGTGTCTTATGTAATTTCTGCCTCCCCCATTTTCTATCATCTATATAATTTAGAGTATGGTCATGATAATTAAGTTGATGCAAAAATAAGAACAGAAAAAAAGGGTAGAAAACACTGATATATTTAGTATCTAATATGTAACTATTTGTTGTCTATTGTTTTATTTGCTCGATGCCCATTTATCACTGTTCAATCACCTGCTTCACTTAGTGTCAGGCATGTTTCACTCCAATCTTAATTGACTAGGATTGTCAGTTTTCCTATTGAAGGTTCTCAACAGGCACTCTGGCTTCCTTCAGCAATAAAAACTGACCGCCACGAAATAGCACAATAATGTGAAAGTGGCATTATACACAAATCAATCAATCAATCGATAGTACAATCTTCAACTTACATGTAGAAAGACGTCTCATTACTTTGCCGGAACTTTTCAGTGTAAAAGTAGGACTTTCATTTTCACCATCTAAATTTTCTTCCAAATCAAGCAGTTCCTAAAAAATATGACAAAATGTATAAAACAATGCATATACAAATCTAGGGCAGATAAATCACCCCTGGTTTAACTGTCCCGGTCAATATTTTCAAGTGTAAAAAGCTGGTCGATTGAATTTTAAAGGTGAATAATCTTAGAATATTTCTGACTTTGTCTAACAAATGGCAATGGCTATATCATAAAACCAATTGCTACCAATAGGCATTCTTGCAAAGTTTTAGAGAGCAGTTAAGCTTGAATGTAAGTGATAATAATCTTGGAGATCACATCTTATGGGAATAATGTCAACCACAGTTAATGTCTTGTCATATCGACAATACCAGATGGTATTTTCCAAAAAAAACCAAAAAAACTTGAAAATCTCAGGAAATCTTTTCATGATGAAAATCTTATCAGCTAATTAGGTACCAATATGGGCTCCTAATATATTGAAATATTCTTAATTATGCTGAAATACCTATGCAAGATACCTATTGCTGATGAAGTCTTCCTGTAAAAATTTCACAACATGGTTGTGTTTATGTTGAATTTGGAATGTAATGCATCTGCTCTTGTATTTAGCTGTGTGTTAATTAAGGTATTTCCATAAATCTGTTATTAATTTTTACCTTTGAAACACTTCTCTTTAGCTTGGGTAAAAGTTGGTCCCTATCAAGTGGAGGCTGAGGAGGATTAGTCTGAAACCCTCCTTTATGTTTCCAAAGCAGCATCATCCTTATAACTGTCCTAAGATTGAATTTCAAAATTCATTTTTACAAAGTTAAAATAAAAGAATAAATAAGAATTTGAAAATCCAAAGTAATTTAAATCTACCAAATAAAATCCTTTAGGTGTTCACACATCTTTAGGACATCAGTATTTACATTGTTGAATTTTGTTGTAAACATTGGCATTAGGGCTTTAAATTTCTTACATTTAGTGCAAAAAATCAAAACTGCCAAATAAGTCTAATTAATATTAAAGATGTATCAGCCAGAGCTTTACCCAACTCAAAGTGACATCACAAACTTATGTTTCCAGATTTAAGCAACTGGTTCATTTATCAATTACAGTCGAACCTCGTTGTGTCGAAGTCGAAGGGACCAGACCAAAGTATTCGACTCATCCGAGGTCGAGTGTGCCGTCATACATTTAGAATGCATAAAATACAGTATGAGATTTGCGTAAACTAGATACTTTGAACAGTGTGCCTTTTTTTTTTCGATATGACACTTTATGATTGTGTATTCAATCTCCATTTTTGGTCCTTCATAATTATTAAACATACAAGTACAGATACAAATCATGCACAAATAAAATCAATATTTACAATGGTCAATCACTATAAATTATGAAATCACTCGCAGAACGAAATAAGGTCTTGAACGATCAACAAAGGTGTTAATTACCGGCAACCATAAACATATCATTTTAACTGTTATACAAACAAGTATGTTTATTCAGCTTTAATCTCTTGTGAAAAATGATTAGGTTACATAAGAAATACATCCGATTTGAATTTTTATCATTAGGTCTGCATTTTTCAAAAAATCTTACTTTCGAACTTCGAGACATCGGGGTCAATTTACAATAATTTTATATCGACAGGACTATAAAATTTACTCGACTTAACCGAGTATTCGAATCAAACGAGTTCGACTCATTATAGGTAATTATGCATTGATCAAACGGGAATTTTACCGGGACCTAGAAATTACTTCGACACATCCGAGTTTTCGACACAACCGAGTTCGACACACCGAGGTTCGACTGTAACATTATTTTGGGGGCCTCGGTGGCCGAGTGGTCTAAGTAGTTAATACTGTAATCACTAGCCAGTCAACACTGAGGTTGTGAGTTCGAACCCCGCTCGTGCGGTTGCACTCGACTGCAATCTTAATTGACTAGGATTGTCAGTTTTCCTATCAAAGGTAGGTGGTTTTATCCCGGCACTCCAGCTACCTCCACCAATAAAAACTGGCCGCCACGAAATAGCCCAAAAGCGGTGCTTAAAAGTGGCGTTAAAACACCAAAAATCAAAATCAAATCAAATCAACATTATTTTGAAAGGCTGGAATAAGTTTACTATTTTTGCATGTTAAGGGGCCAACTAATGGCTCTTATCATACTTCCTATTTTCTGAAATCAATATTAAGTTATTTATTTTTGTCCTAAACTGCCAGGGAAGGGGATTTAAGGCATAGGCATAAAGGTACGCAATATTTTTCAGAATGACATTTCTAAAATTGCACTCAAAGGTCAAAGAGCAATTACGATTAATATCAATGATGTCAGTTTTTATTTCAATGTTTCACATACAACAAGGTCCACTGGAATCCAAATGAAAAATAAAGTTCATTGAATAAATTTAAAATTATTTGTCAAGACAGATGTCTTTGAGTTGGGATAAGTTTTAAAAATATGCACATTTGTATTGAAGAAGAAAAGCTTTCTTTAAGTTGTATAATTTTTGTCTTCAATGAAAATGCTTTACTGCTTCATACTAATTAGCTCATTCCAAAATTTTCTGCTCTTTTTTCACCCACATACACAACTTTTTTTGATGGACACAAATTAAATTTGGTCATTCTATATATACATCTATATAAAGCAGATAAATCTGTAGAGAAACTGCATGTTTACTTTGTGAGCTGTACAACTAATATAATGAACCATCTTCCTGTTTCTCCCCATGCTCTCTGTGCTGCCATTTCTAGAAAAACTTCTGCATACTGCAAAACTGTTAGAAATCTCTTCCATCTTTCTACTGGGACAGACTGTAAATACAAAGACCATAAAACAGTACATTTAATAGTCCAGTGTTAACAAAAGTCAGTCATCTACCTTGCATAAACATCAAAGAAGTAAACAGATGACACAGTTCATATCAGATACATACATCTGTACATCCAATATATGTCCAAGATATTTCTGATCATGTTTTTTTTGAAACTAGGATGCTATTCACCATTTCTCAGTATTCATCCATGACAACCAATCATAAGTTGCTTTATAAAAAAATTGAAGTATTATTTAGTTACAAAGTGACTAAGAGATAAAAACCAGGATTAAAAAAAGATGTCTGGCCAGCTCAATTTTTATTTTGGAAGCACTGAGTGGACAGCCGGTTTTGCTCTTACTGGTTTGTATGACTTTTAATGGCTTTTGAAGATATAAGTGTATTACTTTGACATCACGGATATTTACTGAGTTGCTTTTTCAAATTCAGTATTACTATTAGCTACAACTTTAACCATTAATAAATTATGTTGAATCACAATTTAACAGAGACTTACTATGTTTTTTAAAACTTTGGCTGTCTGTCTAAAGATTGTATCATTTAGTAGAATCAGCAAATTAGATGCCAAGTAGACAAGTTCTGACAAAACCTGGGAATCTTCAAATCTACCTGAAAGACAAAATTTGTTAATTGGTTAAAAAGGTATAAAAGAAATCATAAAAGAATGATTTTAACCTCTGGATGATTATTTCTGATTTTTTATTGTTCTATCTAGTTCATTCATACACAGACATATCCATATATACATGCATTAATTATATATAAAGTCCTCGAATATAAAGGTCACCCTGTTGCAACATTTCAGATTTGGACCATCAAATTTGATTTCAGTTCCTGTTCCAGTATTTTTCATGTTGATCAAATCACCTTTCTACTATTTCTTTCAGAAACCTGTACATAAAATCAATGATCTTTGTGCAAAAACGTTTTCCCTGGATCCAGGATTAGCCCATGAAAGTAACAAATAAGAATAGGTTTTTGTTTATCATAAAAAAAAAAGTAACCAATAAGAGGCCTTGGTGCTGATAACTCAAAAAAAAAGTGAACATTTGTTGGGGTTAAAACTATTATTATTCCAATTTTAGAAAGTATCTTTAAGGGGGGATTAAAAAGACATTGGTATATTGGGGTGAGGAGGGGCATGGGGGTTGGAGGGAGGTAGTAAAATATATGCTTTAGTTTTCTATTTGGACCAGTCAAATTCTATTTGGGCTTCCAAAATTCAATTTTCTGACATCAATGTTGGTCCAATTTTTTTCATTTGAACCAAAAGAGTTAAAAAAATAACTTTATATAAATGTCCTTTCCTATTTAATCAGTCATTATAAAAATAAAGACATGTGAAATGATTTATAGTTCTCAATTTGCTTGCTAACGAATTTTGCTGTTTATTGATTCACTCTATCCCTTATTATAATTACTGTTTTCAAGATACATAGTTATATCCAAATAACAAAACCATCAAAGATATCAATAAAGGGCAATAGCTCAAATTAGAAATCCTCTGACAATTTTGAATAGTCAAGGGTATGACTTAAACAAGTGATTTTATTATCACTTTTTTTTACTGATTAGTAAATTTCAGTAATCACCTTAAGCAGTTAAGCATGTTAAGTAGTAAGTGATTTTGATGTTTGCTTTGATCTTTAAATACAGATTTCAGGAATGTTCCACTCAATATCAAATTTAAGATCCCTTTCTATTATATATCAACTTCATGAGTGCAGAGGCCAGTAACTTGTACAGTATACATGGTATATATGGAACTTGCAAACAAGTAAGAAAATCATCTTTCTGAAAATGAAATTAAGTATTATTATCATAATCTACTATACATGCTATACAAAACCACATAAAATATTGTTTCGTGTTTTGAGCTTGTTTTGCATTGTTTTTCTGGTTATCTAGGTAACAACTTTTACCCAATATTTTGATTTCATTTTAATGGGGATTCTAATAGATGACTTTCAAGTACATGCACTTTCCTGTAAATTTCCTACGTCACTTAGCATGCTTAGTATTCTTATGTTATTACGTCACAGTAAGAGCCGATTATTCAATGACATCATTACGCCAATTGACCTCAGGTCAACCAGTGTAACTCATTCATAAATAAATGTGGATAGTGTCCACATGTGGACACAGATGATGCCCCCACTTGCATAGCATATAGTTATAAAGGGACATAACTGAAGAATGGTAAAAGTAACGCTACCCAAATTTGAACTTGATCTGAGTTTTGTGGTAATAAGCATTGTGTGTAAGTCTTATAACATTTGGTTGAAGCTAACTTAAGTAGAGAACAGAGACTAAAAATTCAGCAATTTTTCTATTTGTAAACACGCATAACTCTAGAACGGTTGTGTATAAGTTTTATAACATTTGGTTGAGACAAACTAAAGTTAGAGAACGGAAACAAAAAATTCAGCAATTTTTATGTTTATAAAGGGACATAACTCAAGAATGGTAAAAGTGTTCTCACCAAATTTTGTACTTAATCTGTATTATGTAGTAATAAGCATTGTGTATAAGTTTCATAACATTTGGTTGAGGCAAACTAAAGTTAGAAAACGGAAACACAAAATTTGTACTTGATCTTAGTTTTGTGGTAATGAATATTGTGTATAGGTTTCATAATGTTTGGTTGGGGCAAACTTAAGTTACAGAATGGAAACTAAAAATTTTGCAATCTATCGATTTATAAAGGGCATAACTCAATAATGGTTAAAGTGACACTACCCAAATTCAACTTGATCTGTGTTTTATCAGTGAAAGTCAAAATTAAACATTGCATTGTATAAAGCATTAATTGTAGTTGATTCAACCATAATCTTTGACAAAGAAAGATAACTCCAATTTTAAAAATTACTTGATATTTAGAAGAAAAAAAATATTTTGCAATTTTTCCATGTATAAAGGGACATAACTCTAGAACGATTAAAGCGACACCACCAAAATTCAAACTTGATCTGTGTTTTGTGGTAATAAGCATTGTGTATAAGTTTCATAACATTTGGTAGAGGCAAACTTAAGTTAGAGAATGGAAACTAAACATTTTGCAATTTTTACATCTATAAACATGATAAAGGAGCATAACTCTAGAACGGTTAAAGTGACACCACCAAAATTCAAACTTGATCTGTGTTTTGTGGTAATAAGCATTGTGTATAAGTTTCATAACATTTGGTTGAGGCAAACTTAAGTTAGAGAACGGAAACTAAACATTTTGCAATTTTTCCATTTATAAAGGGGCATAACTCTAGAACGGTTAAAGTGACGCCATCAAAATTATCACTTGATCTGTGTTTTGTGGTAATAAGCATTGTGTATAAGTTTCATAACATTTGGTTGAGGCAAACTCAAGTTAGAGAACGGAAACAAATTTTGGGACGTACGTACAGACGGACAAGGGTAAAACTTAATGCCCCCACCGCTATGGCGGGGGCATAAAAAAATCTCAAGATTAATGTATGTACTCCAGTCAACCAATGGGTATTTTTTCTTCTTCTTTTTCCGAATACTGGAGTAAGACTCCTAGGTAGGTGTGTAATACTTCCCGGAACTTGTATGCTATGTACATATGGACTTAATTAAAATTACTATAAACAATTAAGTAAAATAGTCTATAGAATAACATAAATACATTATGTACAGTGGCTTTGGTGGTTTAATAAGTTGGTGTGGGTCCTTCAAATGTCAGAGTGGATATGCCATTTTTTGAAGGATTCCAGGTTGTCAGACATACCTATTGCTTCAGGTAGTGAATTCCAGTCGAATAAAAAGAGTATTTATAGAAGTCTTTATTAGTTGCAATTTGCCGAAATTTATGTTGCCCCCTAAAACGCGTCTATCAGATTTTGTCAATTGTTCCGAGTTTTCTTCAATACTTCAACAGACAGGATGATTTCATGGTATTAAATGAATGGGGTTGTAGATTGTTCGCTAATATACTTGAAATACAGTGGTTTGACAGCAAAGTTGGGAACCAAGAAATGTGACAAATGATAAAACTGAACCATGACCTTTGCCTTGGCTTGTATAAAAAAAAAAATAGCAGCATCAATCAGTAGGAGTATAGTTTCGGCCCTTTCAAGATGATACATATGTGTAAAATCAAGCAGGAAAAAATTTATTAATGCATGCCATGGTGTTGCCCATCAAAAAGGATTTTGTTGATGTGAAACTGAAAGTAGGATTATAATCTGAGTTATCCACCCCTTTTAAGATTTCTTGTAAAAATTCTTCATAAACAATTATTTCACCTGCTATAACATATGACACAACTTTGAATGTGGATTCTAGCTGACTGACGGTTTCAGGGTTTTCCCTCACAATCTTCTGATAGCGTTCCCAAACTTCTCTCACGAAATCTGATGCAGCTGAGGCCATGGTCAATACTGGGGCGTGTTTTTTTGTTCTTCGGTAGTGAGCCAGAAGAGGTCCATTTTTATTTTTTTGAATTAGGAAGATCTTCTGGCTCTCTTCCATCTCTTCTTTTTAAATAGGTGGTTTAGACGGCAGAGGCAAAAAACAAACATGGCGTCGTTAAGTCTAAATGACATTAATTAATTCGTGAATGAAGATATATTAGAATGTGAGCTGTGTTATAAACGTTTTTATGGTATGACAGCCATAGTAGGACATCTCTGTAGGACGATAAGCTGGCTGAATATAAGAACTACACGGACAATAACAGTTAAGGGTCAACTATTTGAAATCCCTAGGGAAGGGATTTTGATTCATTGGTGTTTTACGCTACTTTCAACACTCATGATTGGGCTCAGTAGTAGTCAGTTTAAATCAATAGATGAGGAATAAATGAAGAAGGAAAGAGGGCATTATTATTCATTTTAATTTTTCGCTAATCATGCCTATTTTTTAGCTCTTACCAGGAAACCATATTCATATACGAAATCCTCCTGTCCCCCATCCCAACAAATAAATAAATATCAAATGGTTTCTCTTATTAAACACAAGTTTAAATTGATCATGCTAATTTTTAACGACCAGTGACAAATATTTCATGCATGTTCAGGAAAACACGAGATAAAAAAAGGTCGGATAAATTATATAAAAACGAAGAGATGTGATATGATTGCTATTGAGGCAACTATCCTAATATGAAGTGGATGTAAGCAATATATAGACAACCTTAAGGCCTTCAACACTGACGAAACCCGATACTGTAAAGCCGTTTATAAAAGGCCATTAAAAGTGTGAAACAATTCAAACGATAAAACTAACGGCCTAATTATACAAAACAAAACAATTTACAAAATATCAAATATGAGTTGAGACATGAACCAACGACAACCACTAAACTACAGACTCCCGTGACTTTGGACAGGTTCATAAAGAATATGGCAGGGTTTATATAAAAACGAAGATGTGGTATGATTTCCAATGAGACAACTCTTCACAAGAGACCAAATGCTACAGAAATTAACAGCCATATGTCACAATACGGCTTTCAACAATAAACAAAGCCCATACTGACCACATAGTGAGCTATAAAAAGCCCCGAAATCGCAAATGTAAAACAATTCAATGGTAAAAGCTAACGGCCTAACTAATGTACAAAATAAAGTGAACGAAAAACAAATAAGTAACATAGCAACAAACGACAACCACTGACTTACAGGCTCCTGACTTGGGACAGGCACATACATACAGAATGTGGCGGCGTTAAACATGTTAGCAGGATCCCAACCATGCCCTACCTGGGACAGCGATGTAACAGTACAACATCTTGTTTGTGAGAGCTCAATCCTCCCCGAAGCTGAAACAGTAGTGTAGCAGTTCAATATAAGAACAACCTGCGCAAATCAGTTGCAATTAGATTAACTCAAAAGATCGGTACGAGACACACAAAAGAAACCGGCCAACTAACATTAAGACAATAGACTCAAAGCATCGAACTAAGAGTATTTGCAATTACTAGAAGTTTGTTCAAAGCTAGTTGCAACTAGTACTGAAATAAATCTTGTTCTCCAAGACTTAAGTATCAATCAGTACACAACCAACTGATTTATTAAATAAAAGTCTAAGAAACGTCTGTTATACGTTGTAAATCCATTGGTGGCCTTCGGCTATTGTCTGCTCTTTGGTCGGGTTGTTGTGTCTTTGACACATTCCCCATTTCCATTCTCAATTTTATTACATCTAGATCCATATACAATAAAAAAAAATTGAAAAGTCCGAATTAAGGTTTTGACCATCGAAATTTTGCATTAGAAATAATAGTTAGGATCAGAAGATTTTCTTTATGGACCGCCAGAGAAAAACGATTTTTTCGAACTTTCTGATATCTTGTTAATCCAGTTCGGTTACTTTAAAAAAAAAAAATATGGAAAGACTAAGATTTCCTTTTTGATCAGTCATATTCCAGACAAACATTGACGAATTCTTGTGCAGTTTAAGATTATTCTTAAAAATCAAATAGTGGGGGTTAAGCCTGATTTGTTTAGCAAAATTGAGTTGGACGTATCTTAATTTTCTAAAAAAATCGTAAACTTAATTTATGTCATCCAACATAACAGAAACCTGCTATATTCGACGGCAAATTGCATTTTTATTTTATTGACCTTCCATAGAATATCTCCAGAAGAGGTCCAGATTCATTTTTTTGGACTCTTCACCAGAAGACATTCTGGAGATGTACCGAAGAGACCAATAAAACACACCCCTGGTAAAATATATCTGAATACCGAAAAGTATAATGTTTTTTACTCAAAAATGTGTGCGGTTAATGTTTAATATTTTAGCATCAACTTTAAAGTACACTCTTTTCTGTAAAAATAAAAAAACATTTTAAAAGTAGAATTTCAACTATGCCTCAGGGTCAAAACCTTTAACTTTTTCGTCTAGTTCTTGTTTTTCGGTGATTGGGAAATTCTTTTAGGCTGGTTACCTGTTGATAGTTTTCGTTCACATCTGGGTACGTCTTATAAAGAAGTTCCAGTTGAAAATACAACTGAAAAAAGTTATCTATTTTTATAATGAACACATAAATTTATATAAGGTATTAATTGACACTATAATCTAAAAAAAACTAATCCAGCGACATTGAAGCCACTGCAGTAGAATACTTTTGTCACTTAAAAATTGTGTTTCTTCTGTTTAATTTTGCTTGTTGGCCCAATCAATCACATTTGAAGTTATAGGTTTTGTATTAATCATAAATTATGAGAGATAAACATTGCCTGGTTTCTAAAGTACAAATCTGGTACAATATATATTTGATATAATAGTTTCCTTCTGCATCATCAGTAGTAGTTATTTTTTTAAATGAACCAGATCTAGCATTTTTCTGTAAAAAAAAATGACATCTCAAAATAAATATCTTTAGGTCACAATGTCCTATAACATGTTTTCCCCCAAATGACCCCAGGGCAGTTCATTCATTAAATTGAAATTGGGAGGTCATCTATAGGAGAGTTCAGGATAGTTGTTGTTTCAATGTGGAGATAGAAAAAGTCATATCACATGACATTTTTCTATGCACATGCATACATGTGAACCTCCCGACGGGAGTACAATAATCCTGTTTTCAGGGGTCTCCTCCCGTCCTCCCGTTGGAGAGAAAAAACTATCATGAATGAAAAATTTCAGGCACCATTTTTGCTACGACTTAAGACTAAATGTTTGTTATTGATGATGTAAAAACCTGAGTGTATCGAACGTATCCGGTGTAACTGACATTACCTGATTACGCAACATGTGGAGATTTTGACCTGGCCGACGGCTAATTAACAAGTGATTATAGTTTGATTGAACAATACACAGGTGATAGGATAATAAATACTTGATATGACTTCTGTCTAATGGCACACGCTGATAAATACCGGCATTGATAGAAAAGTGGAAGGTTTTGATGCCGAAAAAAAAAAAAAATTTAATAAACTTTCAACTCGGCAGAGAAATACTAGCTATTTCACACTCCAGTGTGGACATGAAGGTCCTTCAGCATGTTAAAGAAGATCCAAACCTGGAACATTATTTAATAGTTTCAGTCAACACTGACAGCAGACAAACATTGACTCAAAGACAATTCACAGCCTCCTAACAACTATAATAAACTGTTACCAGGATCAGGATTACTTTAGTACAGAGTCAAGTGCATTAAACTAAAGGCAGCCAAGTCAGCTTGTACTTCTTACATGACCCAGTGTTCTAAGACCAGTGTTTTGTTTCTTAAATAACATTTATCACTGTAATATAGACAGTGCTTTAGCTAATATATTTGACATGACTTTCTTAAGGTAGATCGGGTGTCTTCCTCCATCTTGGATTTTGAAATACCAGAAAACTATCAGTCTAGATCTTTAATAAAATATGCAAATTTTGAGAGTAGTAGGTAATTCATGTGTAAGAATTTTCATTTCAAGATAGAAAATGACATGTTTTATCATATTTATGGTTGTATTTTACAAAAAATAGAATACTTTTGTTTGATTCAATTTTTTCCATTTTTGCCACATAAGGGGAGGCAACTCAAATGTAGGGGCAGATAATTCAGATAAAGTTACTTTTACAATAGAATGTGTTAGGTATTTACCTATTTTTTTATATAGCAAGAAAACGGGTCCCGTGACCCATTTTTTTCTTTTTCTTATCTGAAAGCATAATATTAGAGCTATCTTCTCATATTTTACCTCAAAATTCTATGGTATAGTTTTCGTTTTATGGCAGAAAATTTGGTTTTCCATGCATAATCTATACAAAATCTGTCAATTTTGCACAACCTGTAGCGTGAGAATAAGCCCCGTGACCTATTCTTTTTATTATTTTTTTTTAAAAAGCATGATATAAACTATGTTTTTGCAAATTATTAAAAAATTCTATGGATTATAATTTAGACACCCCATCTACCTTAATGCTTAAAAACCATGCATAACTATTGTTTGTTTATCATTCATCTATTTATCATTTTATAAATGTATAGCATATTTCATTCTTATATATATCTATGCCAATGACATTGAAATCAAATAAAGAAGATTGAGACATAAATAAAACATTATACTTAGTACTCGAAGAAAAGGTTAAATTATAGTACTTTATTTATGAGCAGACTGCAATCAAAAACAAAACAAGAAACAGAATTTTCTCAATATTTCTTTCAAGTGATCTCATTCTAACAGAAAGGCTTCATGGGCAGATGGGTACTGTAAACACATTGCATTCAGGTGGAAAATTGAAGGAAAAACACTTAAAAAAACAAATTTAACATCAGACGGTTACATTTACGACAAAATTTATGTCAATAAAAAACCTCCTGATCTGAGGTCTAAACTCCTGACCAAAATTTCCCAATCTCCTGATCTTAGTTTCATAGTCCATCACATGTATGCACATGCCTAGATTTTTATAAAGGGGAATTATGCAAATGTTATGATTTAATTGAATTTCTACCTAAATTAATCAACCACGCTGCTCTAATTTGACTTCCTCACCCTGATGAAACCTATGGTAAGGTGACAGCGTCCATAAGTTGATGTTTTCATGCAGACGATGTTGTACTGATCCTTACACTGCATAGATTTCTGACATTATCACATGGTTTTTGTGTAGTTATATATGTATATATGTAGTTTATAGAATAGAAAATAATAACAGAAATATAGTTTTTATATATTACAAGCCAAGCGAGTAAAACACGGATCTATTACATAAATATCAAACTTTGTTTAGAATTGTTATTTGTAAAAGGTTACTCTATGAAAAATGCAAAATATTACTTCTAAAAGTCATTTTTATACATATTTGAAATAGATAATAATAACAATTGCAAAATGTATATAAGAAACTATGTAATTGTTTTTGGTTACAAATTTATAATAACTTCAGGGCTCAATTAAATTACATCACATTCATGTATATGTTTTGATCTATTTATATCTGTCTACCTTCAAGATTTCTAAGAAAAATAATATTTCAATAGTCCCAACTGACCAATCCTTGACCCAGAGGCGCCACTCTTTAATGTGTGTCTGGAAGGGAAATAGTTTTAGGAGGATTAGTTTTTCTACTTCTGATATGGGAAAAAATAACCAGATGTTTGACAAAACTGAATGTTTATGCATATTAAAATCTTTATGAATGTACACCTGTAAATGATCTTTAAAAAAGTAAGTTTTTTAAGAAATATCATGAATATATAAAAGAGCCTTGTATAGGTTATGAAAGTTTACTTGTTTAAGTAATTCCCCTGACTGCTGAACATGCTGAAGATACTAAAACAAAACAATAAAGATGGACTAAATACAAATATGCTGGTGAAAAAAAGATCATGAACACAAACACACTGTAAATTAAATATACATTAGTGCACAATTAAATTTCTTTCACAAATTGAAACATCAGTTTGTTGTATTTTTTTCTCTTCAGTTTTTCGAAAGTATGCAATTTCTAGTTCAGAAAAGAATATAGCTTTTCATATCAATTTTTTTCAATTTTTAGAACAGTATGCAATGTAGCAAGAGAGACTATGGGTTACCACAATGCTGATAAGAATGAAAAAGCAGACTTTGGTTGTGTTGGTGATAATAGGAGCATTTCCAACATGTATTTTGGTTTACTTAGCTTTAACAACTGATGGTAATTATCAACATTATAAATTTGTAGAGCATGTAGAGTGAATTAGTAAGGGAACTAAAATGATAGATTTAGGAAATGAGAAATTTACTCACTTGTTATCATCAAAACTTTCCCCCAAAATGATCACTACCGGTATTCATAAATTTCCTGTTTCTTCATCAATCATGTTTTTGTCTGCTAGCCTGATTATTTTCAACATAATATAAAAAAAACTAGGAATTGCACTTACAATAAAATGGATAATATAAATTCTGGTCGTGAAATTTTTTTTTTCTTTTAAATATGTATCATACTCTATTGATAATTTTGACATTTGTTAGTTGGATACAAAAAATACCGGTACCTTATCCTGGCCTCATTAACCATTAGTAATATATAATAATTTGGTTAGTACTTAAAAGTTAACTTATTTTGGCAACAGCAAAAAAAAAAAATATGTCTTACAGCATTCATTACAGCTCACAAGGATTTTTTTCTTTTGGATTATATTTGTACAAGAAACTATGACGAACATAAATGCAGATATAAACTTAGGTATCTTTTTAGTTATGTAAAATTTACCTGATTTTCACAAAGTTTTGTTTCATAAATATAGAATTTTGTCAGGAGTATTATGAAGTTTTTATGCCTCCGCCTCTAGGCAAAGGGGGATTTAAGTGTTACCCTTGTCTGTCCCATCCGTCCCTTGCATACGTCCCCAAAATTGGTTTTTGTTTCCTAACTTTAGTGTGCCTCAACCAAATGTTATAAAACTTATACACAATGTTTTTTTGCCACAAAACACAGATCAAGTTTCAAAATTGGGTGGCGTCCCTTTTACCATTCATGAGTTATGCCCTTTATAAACATAAAAATTGCAAATTTTTCGTTGTTTCCGTTTTTCTAACTTTAGTTTGCCTCAACCAAATGTTATGAAACTTATACACAATGCTTATTACCACAAAAGTCAGATCAAGTTTAAATTTGGATGGTGTCACTTTTAATGTTCTTGAGTTATATCCCTTTATAACATTATATGCAAGCAGGGGCATCATCTGTGTCCCATGGATACATTCTTCATTTATTTATCTTATAATTTCCTGTGTTTCCTAAATTTCCAAATAAAATAATATCCATATTAAATGGAATTATTATTTGTGTTTGGTAATAAATTCAATCACTAAGTTTAATCCATAAATCTGATATTTTATTGCATGTCCAAAATATGTGCTCAATATCTTCAATAGCTTCACTGCAGAACGTACATTTATCTGTTTGTTTTATCTTAATTTTGAATAAAAATTCATTTGTGCCTATGATTCTGAGTTTTATTCTATACTGGAATCAATGAAGTTTTGAGCTTTTTGTGGTGTGAAAAGACATAATGACTTTGTGCACTTTTATCCAATCTTAATTTTTTTTATAATCTTAGAGATCATTTATCTTCACAGTTAAGTCTTGTACTGCTTTTTTTAATAAAACATAAAATAATGATCAGGTATGTAATGATTGTGTATCATCTTTTATGTAACAGCATATTGACATATTTGTCAATTATACTGTTAAATTCAAATATGAATATAAAGGAGAAGGTCCGCTAAGGGCTAATTTTGGCCTAAAATTCAAAGTACATCCGATGAAAGATTTTTGACATTTTTTAAACATATAATTAGTGTCTACCACAGTCGATTCAATTAGTTTATGTATAAGATTTGAATTGATTTGGTCATTAAAGACGCTCAAATGCAAGCTTAAATGTGAAAAATCTATCAAATATGCCATAAAACGTAACTTTCCAGGTGGTTTTTGTCAAAAATGAAAGTGGCTGCATTGTGTTCAGTCTCAATCTTTATATATGTTATGTATTATCATCAAGTACAACATATATTTAAATATAAAGGCTGAACACAAATGGGGCCACTTCCATTTTAGGCAAAAACCTTTTAGAAATTAGCACAAATGTTAAAATTGTGAAGATTTCAGTAATTTTGCATAAATTAATGATGCTAGTACCTGATGCATGTGCATTGTATTGTCAAAACAGCCAATATTTATGTAGCAAAAGTATTCTACTTTCCAATAAATAGCGTAAAGTTGACAATTGAACAAATTTATAAAAATGCTTTATTCTGGAGCCAAAAGGGGGTCTTACCGGGCCTATTTCTTTCTTAATCATAAAACAATTTTTCAGAAGACATTTATAAAGGGAACATAGAACAGTAAAATATGCATGGAAATTCTTAAATCTACATTCAAAACGTTATTTTTATTTTTATTTCATAGAAATTCCTAAATATGATGGCCAAGCCGGGCAAATTTTGGAGTCCAGACTTGCACAGAGATTGAAAGAAGCTGATCAGGAAAATAAAGTCCTTAGGAAGCAACTAAGGTACAAATGAAATCTAGAACCTTACATTCAAAACCTTGTGTATATTTAATCCTATATTCTTGCACAATTAGGTCTATTTGAACAAATAACATGAATAAGTTGAAAAAAGAATTTTGAGAAATCAGGAAATGGTCTTGTAGTATATCTAGGTATTGATATCCAGAACAATAGAAACTTATTCTGTCTCTCTAAAGATAAATATTCCTTGAATATAAAGTATCACTCTCATTACTGACCCTATTATTCACCTATAAATAACTAGAGCTTCTTGATTTGTACACAAGTTATCTCCCATCAAAATTATGTCTCAGACATAAATGGCAACTGTCATGTTAGAAGCCCATGGAGTGACAGGGAAACAAGGCTTAGAAATTCATCTAGTGCTGAGGGTATCTCTAATAATTGGTCCTTTAAATGAGTTTTCAGGGCCATCAATATTTTGTAGGAAGAGTTTTCCTTTGTTGTATATTGTACATACAAGAAATTCTTAGACACAAAATAATTTTCTAACATAACTGTTTTGATTGATTGATTGTTGGTTACTCAACATCGTGTGTAACTGTTTGACAATCTGTTACTACAGTAAGGCAAGTGCTTTTTCAATGGTTCAAAAGACCCTTTCTCTGTTAGTTGGGTATAATAAAATATTTCTGGCAATTTGAAGAGATGAATATCCAAAATTGTCAACCCTGAAAAGTTATTTTCGAAATTAAAGGCAATACAATCTGACTGAAATATCATTATGCTGAACCAGAAATACCATTTGTGAGTCAGGCAAGGTAAAAACCCTGCTAAAATATTGTATTTCTTTACCAGTTATATTAATGTGTGTAGTTGGCAGGCAATAATATAGGTTATAAAATATGCAGAAATGCTTTGACTTCCATTGTTTACTTTCCTATCACAAAATATAAAGTTTTGATCTTATCTTGTGGGTTTCATTCTTGAAGCTGTTGTTTTTCATCTGCATTGTTGTTAAATTTTATACGCAAACTTAAATTGACACCTTCCTTCTAACAGTTTATATGTCATGTATGTGTGTTTTGTTTAGAAAATATGGATATAATACATTTTATTCAAAAATTTATTAATTGAAAATTCTTGTTTTACTTTAGATTCAAATTCATTTATAAGCTATAAATCTATACATCTTATTACATGTATTTGGGAGTCCTACATTGTCATGATTGTATTATTTGTCACTATAGTATTCTTTTTAAGATCCATCAATAATTGTATATCTTTGTTTCAACAGTAAAACAAGAAATAAACTATTAGGCCTACAGATGAGTATTGCTGTACAGAATGGCACAACATATGGTGGCAATAAAACCCTACTAAGGTGTCTGAATGCTGAACTAGAAATACCCAAGTGTGAGGTAGGCAGGCAATGACAGTCTATTAAACTCTGATCTAAAACATGTAGAAATACCAAAACACAATAATTTTCTACTGAAATATATAAATGCAATAAAACTTGCTGAATTACTAATCTTTGAATGAAAGATTTCCAAATGTGAGCCAGGCATGCAATGATACACTTCTTAAGCATCTTCATGGGTAGAAAATACTAAAAATTTGGGTTGATATCCAATAAAGATTCAGTTGAAGTTTCTAATTTCTGAAACAGAAATAAAAAGAGAAGGCAGTAAAATCTTACTGAAATATCTTAAAGCTGAACCCAAAATACTGCTGCTAGAGGCAGGCAAGGAAAAAACCCTGCTAAAATAGCTTTTTGCTGAACCAGTAATATTAGTGTTCAATGTTGGCAGGCCATTAAACCCTTTTGAAATGTTTTGCTAGACTAGAAATACAAAATATGTGAGATAGATAGGCAATTCAATTTTTCTTGTATTTCTTAATGCTGACTCAGAAATCAAAGTTTTCAACCAGAAATAACAAGTGTGAGATACATGTACATGTTAACCAGCAATAAAAGCCCTGAAATGTCTGCATGCTAAAATAAAACCAATATATACAAAGTAGCACCACAATAAAACTATATTTGATTTCTTTGTAACTTTTATATTATGCATTATAAATCAGCAATAATTTTGGTGGATGTATGTTATTGTCACATTTGTGAGAATACAATAAAGGGAGCATTGATCATATTAATTATGAGATACCATTGCCACAAGTTTATGGCCTTTTCACATTGTTGAAGACTATGGTGACCTCTAAATGTCTTGTTTCTGTAAATTTTTGGTTTTGAGCATCTGTTTTATTGACATTTACAACATTTATTCTTTAAATGCAAAAATGCAAACAGAAGAGTTTTAGCACAAATTTCTTTATTTGTTTTCTCCTTTTTAATAAGAATATAGATTATATAGCAAAATCAGCAATGAAACTTAAAAAATTTTGTTACAGGTAATACACATAGCGATTGTATGTGCTGGACACAGTGCCACAAGGAGTGTTGTCACATTGATTAAAAGTGTACTGTTCTACAGAAAGAATCCTCTCCACTTCCACTTTATATCAGATCATATAGCTCAACTAATTTTAAGTCGTCTGTTTGACACATGGAATGTTCCTGAAGGTATTTACATTTATTTTGACTATGTAGTAATTTGCAACCGAACCTGTCCTCATTAGGGTTAAAATTGGTCAAAATGTAATTCCTTAATCTGTGATCTGTATGTACTTCAGTGCTTCTTGTAACTGGTGATTAGTTTTGAGACACAGACAAATGGACACTTGTCCCTCTTTTACATTATATGTGTGACTGCTAACTGATAGATGAGTGCTTGAATTTAAAGTGACAGGGGACCAGTCAGGAGAATGACATCATTATGTGTGTACAAAAGGCATAATCATTTTTATAATTGTACAGAGGACAAATTATTTGATATTAATCTAGCTGTTTGCTTAAAAGTCTTGTAGCAAATATTCATGCATATTCTGGATAAAAACAAATCAAACTATTATTATACGACTGCAAAAAAATTTTTGTGGTCGTATATTGGTATGACTTTAGTTTAAGTGAATGGATCTCAATGAAATTTTACCATAAGGTTCAATACCACAAAAGGAAGGTGGGGATTGATTTTGGGGGTTATGGTACCAACAGTTAAGGAATTAGGGGCCAAAAAGGGGCCAAAAATAAGCATTTTTGTAACTTCCAGACATAACTTGTGTGTAAGTGTATGGATCTCTCTGACATTGTACCACAAGGTTCCATATCACAAAGGGAATGCTGGGATTGATTTGGGGGTAATTGCCTCCAAATTTTAGGAATTAGGGGCCAAAAAGGGGCAAAAAACAAGCATTTTTCTAGTTTCATGACAATAACTTGTGTGTTAGTGTATGGATCTCTCTGACATTGTATCACAATGTTCCATATCACAAAGGGAATGCTGGGATTGATTTTGGGGGTAATTGCCTTCAAATTTTAGGAATTAGGGGCCAAAAAGGGGCAACAAACAAGCATTTTTCTATTTTTATGACAATAACTTGTGTGTTAGTGTATGGATCTTTATGAAATTGTACTACAAGGTTCCATATCACAAAGGGAAAGCTGGAATTGAGTTTGGGGGTAATTGCCCAAAAAGTTTAGGAAAAAGGGGCCAAAAAGGGGCCAAAAATAAGCATTTTTCTAGTTTCCAGACAATAACTTGTGTTCAAGTGTATGGATCTCTCTGAAATTGTACTGCAAGGTACCATACCTCAAAGGGAAGGCTGGGATTGATTTTGGGGGTAATTCCCTCAAAATTTTAGTAATTAGGGGCCATAAAAGGGAAAAAAACAAGCATTTTTCTAGTTTCAGGACAATAACTTGTGTGTATTAAGTGTATGGATCTTTATGAAATTGTACTGCAAGGTACCATATCACAAAGGGAAAGCTGGGTTCGAGTTTGGGGGTGATTGCCCAAAACGTTTAGGAATTTGGTGCCAAAAAGGGGCCAAAAAACATGCATTTTTCTAGTTTCCAGACAATAACTTGTGTTCAAGTGTATGGATCTCTCTGAAATTGTACTGCAAGGTACCATACCACAAAGGGAAAGCTGGGATTGAGTTTGGGGGATGATGAATCATAAGGGGGTTCAAAAAATTGGGGGGGGGGATTTTTTTTCCTTTTTTTTCTTTAAAATTTTCCATTTTTAATTGGTTATTTCTGATTTATATATAAAAGCAAATAATAATGATATGGTTTGAATAGGTAAATTAAAAGTTCTTAGACCACATTCATTCTGTGTCAGAAACCTATGCTGTGTCAAATATTTAATTACAATCCAAATTCATAGTCCTATAATATACTATCAATGTTGAAACCCGAAGTCTTATCGATTAATGCTTTTTTCGGGTTTCAACATTGATAGTAAAAAAAAAATATCCAATAAAAAACGTTGAATGTAATTGATATGGAACTCCGAAGTCTTATATTATAGGACTATCCAAATTCAGTGCTTTATCAAGCTTGAATGTTGTGTCCATACTTGCCCCAACTGTTCAGGGTTCGACCTCTGCGGTTGTTTCAAGCTGTGCCTTAGCGGAGCATTTTATTCTATTTACACCCATGAATTTAATAGAGACATTGTCTGAAACACATGCACTTTTATAACAATTTTTTTGCCGATTTGAATTAAAATTAAGTAATCGAAATTCATTTCTGCTATGCCAACTCCAACAAGATAGAGGCCTTTGTCTGGACCAAGTGGCAATGTAAAAAGAAGAAATAGATAACTGCAAATCGAAATGTCAAGCAGATTTGAAGGAAAGATTTTGAATTTTTACGACTAAGTTCACTTGGCAATGAATCTTTTTGCACATCATGTTCAATCAACTTTTCGATTTCTTCTGGTGGTCTGTACGATGTTTGAAAGCATGCTTAGTGTGAGACTCACAACAAAATCAATATATGGAATCTTATGAGTTATGAGACTCTGAGGTATTGAAAAAGGCTAAATAAAACCCCACCTTGTATAGATTATAACCATGAATTGAAGAAATAAAGTATATTTATTAAGTCTTTTTGGTGTTTTGTAGATGAATACTTAAACAGGTCATATATTTAACTTGAAAATGTCGTTTGCGCAAGATCTCCCTCTTTGAAGGTTTCAGAGGTTGGCAGGTATGCATTAGTGGGAAAATTTTTATTCGTTGGTTTTAATACACAACTTGTCATAATGCTATCTTTTCAGTACTAGCTTGTATCTCAGAAAATTAATTTGTGTTCAATTTATTTCAGTTTTTTATAAATTCAATTTCATTTTTTTACTTTTCATTACATTGAACATACAATTTTTTCTGTATTTCAGTAAATGTCAGTTTTTACTCAACAGACAAAGTTCAGGTAATTTAAAATTAATATTATTAGAAATGATGTAAATTCAGAAATTTATATAATGCAATGCGTTTTTTTTAGAAAAAGTGAAAAAATTGATAATGTGAATTTGTGTAAACTTTTTTTAAGTTATATAATTGAAATATTTTTTTTTATCTTATTATAATAATTTGAATTTGTGTAAACATCTGAGTTGACATAGTGTTGTGAAATTTTACCTGAGTTTTTAAACATAGCTATGAACATGTTGTATTGTAGGAAGATGTAGTATGGATATCTAATAAACATTACTCTGGGGTGTTTGGTCTGATGAAGTTAACATTACCAAAAACTTTACCAAAAAATCTCTCCAAGGTTTGTATTACTAAATTGGTTATACAACTATATTATCATGAGAATTTCACAACAGAATAGATCATACTTAATCAAAAAAATGTTATATATTTATTGATATGGTCACCTTATTTTAAATAAAACCATAATAAAAAATATTTCAAAATACCTCCTTTAAAATTAGCATTGAAAATATTTTCTATCTAACAAAAAATAATTATTGAATTTGGTGTGTCAGAATTCCTTTGTACAATGCCAAATTTCGTTTGTTTTATAAGCTAGCAGAATTGAAACAAGAATTCTTATGAATGTGAAATAAAAAGAAAAGGTTTCTAATGAAATTGGTATGGTTCAACATGTTTCCATCCATCTTGTATTAATTCCTCTTAATTGCAACTTTTATTGTTTATTGCTTTACAGTTTTCCGTTAAGCACTAGAGTAAACTTTGAATGATAAATACACCAATTTTGAGTTATGGGCTTGACAATGACTGACCTTAGTTTTGAGCCATTTGACAAAATGATGTTAACTAATCAATTACTTTTTTTGCCATCAAATGTTTTCTGATGTGACACACACTTAAACTAATGTAAAATTATTTAATTTACTTCGATAGGTTATAGTATTAGATACAGATGTGACATTTGCTACAGATATAGCTGAGCTGTGGAAAATATTCAGCATTCTAAAAGGGAAAAAGGTGAATATTATTAATTATCGTACCCTACTCAGTCATCATTAATTCCCATATCATGGCTTTATGAGGTTTGAGCAGAACTTATCAGCAAAATAACAATGTGTAAGGAGAAGTTATCAGCAATGCCACATTGTGAGAGCAGACCTCAAAAAGCTTACTTCAGTGAGGACAACAAAGTGTAAAAAAAATGGCTTGAGGAGGAAAAAATAACCAGAATTAGTAAGATAAACAGATTATCAGGTTTTCTTTGTATAGATATTGTAAAATATTAGTCACTCTACGCAATGTGACTCGACTACTCACCAAAAAGGTTCACAATGTACCTCTTAACTGATATTTTACGATACCAATGGAGGGAAAACCCACTGATCTATACCTATTGTTTGAAAACATGTAAATGTTTTTGTTCAGCAGATTAGAATAATACCTTACTGTTATATAATGTAAAATAAAGAAAGATAATTGAATAAAATTAATGGAATGAATGAAAATGTACCAGGTTATCTATATGATTAAATCAACAGAATGACCAAGTATTAAAGGAAAGAATGCAGTGTTACATTTAAAGGTAAAAATGATGGTTCTTAAACATTTATTTAAAATGGGAACAGACAAGAGAGTGTTTTAGAAACAATGAAAATAGTGCACAAAACAGAACAGAGAAAACAGAAAACTGAGTAATGCAAAACAACTACTATAATAGGAATCTTGGATGATTTTTATGCCCCACCTAGGGGCATTATGTTTTTTGGTCTGTGTGTCCGTTCGTCCGTCTGTCCCTCCGTCCATTCGTCCGTCCGTTCGTCCGTCTGTCTGTCCCGCTTCAGTTTAAAGTTTTTGGTCAAGGTAGTTTTTGATGAAATTGAAGTTCAATGAACTTGAAACTTCGTACACATATTCCCTATGATATGATCTTTCTAATTTAATGCCAAATTAGAGTTTTGACCCCAATTTCACGGTCCACTGAACATAGAATATGATAGTGCGAGTGGGGCATCCGTGTACTATGGACACATTCTTGTTTAGGACTAGCTGTTAACTTATACATATATAGCAAAGATTCTCTGTTATTGTGACTATGCAAAAGCAGGTTGACCAGTAACTCTGTTTGAGAGAGTGAAGTTTTAGAATTATAGTGATAAAAAATCATGTCGTGAAAAAAACAAGAAAAAATAGAAACATCAATAAGGAGCTGACAGTTTCGTTTATAAATATCTTTTCATTTTACACTTCAGATAATCTGTGATTATACTTTTTTGTTAGATTGATATTAAGCTTTGCATTAGTAATTTTGATGATATTTCAGACTATAGGACTGGTAGAGAACCAAAGTGACTGGTACCTTGGTAAACTTTGGAAGAATCACAGACCATGGCGAGCTCTGGTACAGTAATATATTTTGTGCAGATTATTATTAGCTATTATCACATCATTATATGATGTGTGTTTTAAAAGATTCCTATTATTATTTTTCTCTAGAGAAAGAATATTATTCCATGTAAATAAAGTTTAATGTATATCATCAAGATCATCATTGTACATGTTATATAGAAAGATAAATCACATGTTTAAGGATTATATTAAAATGAACTTCTGAAAGGAAGATATTTTGCAAAGACAAATGGTCATCATATAAGAATAATAACCTACTGTTCAAATGAAGAAAAACATAAAAGTGAATATCAGTTATTAAGTCAGTTAAGTCTGCCTCATATCTTGACTTACATCTAGAAATTGACAATGAGGGTCGGTTGAAAACAAAACTTTACGACAAAAGAGATGATTTCAGCTTCCCAATTGTAAACTTTCCATTTCTATGTAGCAACATTCCAGCAGCGCCTGCATACGGAGTCTATATCTCCCAATTGATACGATATTCCCGGGCTTGTGTTTCCTGTCATGATTTCCTTGACAGAGGATTGCTGCTTACAAGGAAGCTATTAAACCAAGAGTTCCAAATGGTGAAGTTGAAGTCATCCCTTCATAATTTTACGGACGCCATCACGAGTTGGTTGACCGTTTCACAGATGATATCGGATATGTTCCTTATGTCGTAACTACAATACCCTCCCTTTTCACGAATGTGACTTACCGAATTAGACTATTTACCGGATTTGTAATAACATAAGCAACACGACGGGTGCCACATGTTGAGCAGGATCTGCTTACCCTTCCGGAGCACCTGAGATCACCCCCAGGTTTTGGTGGGGTTCGTGTTGCTTAGTCTTTGGTTTTCTATGTTGTGTCATCTGTACTATTATTTGTCTGTTTGTCTTTTTAGCTCACCTGACCTGAAAGGTCAAGTGAGCTTTTCTCATCACTTTGCGTCCGTCGTCCGTCGTCCTGCGTCCGTCGTCCGTAAACTTTTACAAAAATCTTCTCCTCTGAAACTACTTGGCCAAATTTGACCAAACTTGGCCACAATCATTATTGGGGTATCTAGTTTAAAAAATGTGTCCGGTGACCCGGCCAACCAACCAAGATGGCCGCCATGGCTAAAAATAGAACATAGGGGTAAAATGTAGATTTTGGCTTATATCTCTGAAACCAAAGCATTTAGAGCAAATCTGACATGGGGTAAAATTGTTTATCAGGTCAAGATCTATCTGCCCTGAAATTTTCAGATGAATCGGACAACCCGTTGTTGGGTTGCTGCCCCTGAATTGGTAATTTTAAGGAAATTTTGCAGTTTTTGGTTATTATCTGGAATATTATTATAGATAGAGGTAAACTGTAAACAGCAATAATGTTCAGCAAAGTAAGATCTACAAATAAGTCAACTTGACTAAAATGGTCAGTTGACCCCTTAAGGAGTTATTGCCCTTTATATTCAATTTTTAACCATTTTTCGTAAATTTTTGTAATCTTTTACAAAAATCTTCTCCTCTGAAACTACTAAGACAAATTTAACCAAACTTGTCCACAATCATCATAAGGGTATCTAGTTTAAAAAATGATTCCAATGACCCCGCCCGCGAACCAAGATGGCGGACATGGCTAAAAAATAGTACATAGGGTAAAATGCAGTTTTTGGCTCATATCTCTGAAACCAAAGCATTTAGAGCAAATCTGATGGCATAAACTTGTTCATTAGGTCAAGATCTATCTGCCCTGAAATTTTCAGACCAATCAGGCAACCCGTTGTTGGGTTGCTGCCCCTGAATTGGTAATTTTAAGGAAATTTTGCCGTTTTTGGTTATTATCTTGAATATTATTATAGATAGAGATAAACTGTAAACAGCAATAATGTTCAGCAAAGTAAGATCTACAAATAAGGCAACATGACCAAAATTGTCAATTGACCCCTTAAGGAGTTATTGCCCTTTATAGTCAATTTTTTACAATTTTCATAAATTTTGTAAATTTTTGTAAATTTTTAAAAGTATTTTCCACTGTAACTACCGGGCCAAGTTCATTATAGATAGAGATAATAGTAAGGAGCAAGAATATTCAGTAAAGTAAGATCTACAAATACATCACCATCACCAAAACACAATTTTGTCATGAATCCATCTGTGTCCTTTGTTTAATATGCACATAGACCAAGGTGAGCGACACAGGCTCTTTAGAGCCTCTAGTTATTTTTGGCCATGGCATTGTCAGTTTATTTTCGATCTATGAGTTTGACTGTCCCTCTGGTATCTTTCGTCCCTCTTTTTCATCTATATCATTAACTACAGATAACAAAGAATAATAAATGTCTCTATTTGTGATGAAAATTCTACTACTTATCTCAACAATAATCCTAATAAGTTTGAGGAGGATAGAAAAATGATTTGCCCTAAAGTCTGAATTTAAGACCTTATTATGCTAACAAATCATATAGATAGAATGTTAATTCAAATAGACAAAATCATTAAGTTTACATGCATCATGGAAACTGTTTTGCTCATTAATAGTGTTTTCCTTCATAACAGGAATGTTTGTGGTCTTTACTATTTAGTCTAAGCTTTCCTTTCAAAAGATTTTATTTTTATTCTTATGTGGTTCAGCAGACAAACATGTCCCATTTGTACATACATTTTTAGTTAATAGATGTGTTGATTGTTCATGTTACTTATATGTAAATTTTAGGACTGATTATTAATGAACTGGTTCCAATTAAAAGTGTTTCCTTTCATGATTAAGTAGATAGCCATTCAATTTACTTGATACCAGAATCAGGTTTGATATACCGGTATCGATTCTGATATGAATGCATGATAGTTGTTATTCCCTGAAAGTATTTTTATTTTCTATATATCTCTCTTTATTTTCTATAGATACATGACTACCGTAATAAAATTGAGAATGGAAATGGGGAATGTGTCAAAGAGACAACAACCCGACCAAAGAGCAAAAAACAGCTGAAGGCCACCAATGGGTCTTCAACACAGCGAGAAAATCCCGCACCCGAAGGTGTGCTTCAGCTGGCCCATAAACAAAAATGTGTACTAATTCAGTGATAATAGACATTTATATGTACATTTATATGTTTCAGGGTAGAGGTTTCAATACTGGAGTTATCTTACTTGACTTACAAAAGTTACGTGATATGGGATGGATGGAATTATGGACTAAAGTAGCCCAGGAAGAATTACAGACTATGTTATATACTTCATTAGCAGATCAGGTAAAATAGGATAAATTATGTGGCTTATTTCAACATGCTTAGCTTAGCAGATGGTGGTAAAACATGCAGTTGGTATTTCATCTGCAACAAATCAAATGGGTTTTGATAAAATGATAATCACTATGTTATGAGAAATCTATACTGGTTGCTGTTAGTGTAAAATCTTTGTAAGTCTACTTGTTCTATGTGTGGACAATTTGGTCATTTAAAAAAATGACATATACAGAATTATAAAAAATGCCTTTATAGGTGATTTACTGATATCTTAACTTATACAGTTAGGTATTCAATTACCAATTTAGTTGGACTGCTTTCGCTTCAAGTATTTTGATAAAATATGTTTTCATGGAAGGGGTCAGTATAATATTTTTTGTCTGTATGTCTGTTTAAAGATTAAAGTTTTGGTTCAAGGTAGTTTACCATAATACTTGAAACAAAGTACACTTGTTCATTATTTGCCAAATTAGGGCTTTGATCCAGATTTTGCAGTTTAATGTACATTGAAAGAAGAATGATAAAAAGTGTGTGGGCACAATGTCCTATTTACACATAAATTCATAACAAATGAACATAGATAACTTTTACAGAAAATGTACATCAGAAAGTTGGAACAAGATTTCTGAGATTGCTGACAGTTGATCACAAAACAAATTTAAACAAACACTACCTCATAGTATGTTTTTCTTGAGTGTTGCTGGAATGATATTTAAAAGACATAAAATTTAACTGTAAAAAGTGCAGAATAATATAACATATGAAGATACAATTTAAGTGAGATCTGACACTTTAGTCAATAAATTTACAGTTTATGAAAACTTAAAATTTTTTTTTTTTAATTAAATGAACTCTATTTGACCTTTGTCTTGGCGATTGAGGCAGATGACAAGTATGAGTCCTCTAAATTTGATTTATTTTTTTCTGAAGCAAGTTAAAACTGTCTTAAATGAAACATGTCGTTACTTTCAGGATATATTTAATACAGTATTAAAACTTCATCCCTATCTGTTGTATCAGTTACCCTGTCAGTGGAATGTACAATTAAGTGATAACACTCGTAGTGAACAATGTTACAGTGAAATCTCTGATCTCAAGGTAAGACACAATTAAATGATAACACTTGAAATTAATGCTTTGGTAAATATGAATGAAAAACAATTACATTAGAACTGTTATATCTTGTTTCTGAACTTTTCATCGATATAAAAAATTATAAAAAAACTACATTACATTAGTTTGCTATAAAAAACTCTTTTCTTAAGAATAAACAAGAAATTACTATTTATGTGTTGATAAAACAACAGATTGAAATTCTGCAAGAATAGTTAAAATTACTCTTGTTTTCTTTTAGATAATCCACTGGAATTCACCAAAGAAATTAAAAGTAAAAATTAAGCATTTAGAATTTTTCCACAATTTGTATCTGACTTTCCTGGAGTATGATGCCAATTTGTTGAGACGTGAATTGTTTGGATGTGATAACAGTCAAGAAAACCCTATTGAACAGCAGGTAAATTTAATAAATTGATGGATGAAGTTTCTGATGATTAGCATTTTTATAGAAAGGGATTAATCAAGTAAAACTTAATGTATCAGGGAATGAAATCAAAAATGCCTTCTAACACCATCACCAAAGTATTTATTTTAGTGAACAATTTTAACTTATTATAGTCAGATGTAAGATCCACTTAATATTATTTTGATGTATGAAGTTAAAACATTTTGTTATTTTACAGTTGAGTGCTTTGAATGAAGATGATGAATGTTATGATTTTCGAAGAGAACGTATCCTTGTACACCGTACACACTTGTATTACCTGGACTTCGATTACCAACCAACAGAATGGGATGTGACATTAGTGGCACAACTAAGCATGGATAGACTTCAAATGCTAGAAACAATCTGTAGACATTGGGAAGGCCCTATCAGTCTAGCTCTTCACATGTCTGATGCAGAGGCTCAACAATTCTTACGATATGCTCAGGAATCAGAAGTATTGATGCAGAGGAAAAATATAGGATATCATGTAGTTTATAGAGATGGGGTAAGATAATATGATGCCCCCCTCAACTTGTGACCTTTGACCAACAGTAATCAGTTGGCCTGTTTGTTATCAATCAACACTTTACATGTCCCACAACAACTCGAATTTGCTTTATATCATCAAGCGGTGTGTATAGTGCGCACATTTATACCCTGGGTTGTGTTTCTTGTAAGAGGGGTGCGCATTATACATGCCTACAAGCATTTTCTTAGTCTTTTTTCAGGTCCTTCAACAAAGAAAAAACCAGGTGAAGTGAAGAGTACGGAATTTTTCGCTAAAACCTCGGTTTTTATTATGTTTTACATGTTATATTTGTAATATAAAATTGAGAATGGAAATGGGGAATGTGTTAAAGAGACAACAACCCGACCATAGAACAAACAACAGCAGAAGGTCACCAACAGGTCTTCAATGCAGCGAGAAATTCCCGCACCCGGAGGTGTCCTTCAGCTGGCCCCTAAACAAATATATATACTAGTTCAGTGATAATGAACGCCATACTAAACTCCAAATTGTACACAAGAAACTAAAATTAAAAATAATACAAGACTAACAAAGGCTAGAGGCTCCTGACTTGGGACAGGCGCAAAAATGCGGCGGGGTTAAACATGTTTATGAGATCTCAACCCTCCCCCTATACCTCTAGCCAATGTAGAAAAGTAAACGCATAACAATACGCACATTGAAATTCAGTTCAAGAGAAGTCCGAGTCTGATGTCAAAAGATGTAACCAAAGAAAATAAACAAAATGACAATAATACATAAATAACAACAGACTACTAGCAGTTAACTGACATGCCAGCTCCAGACTTCAATTAAACTGATTGAAAGATTATGTCTTCATCATATGAATATCAGGCACAATCCTTCCCGTTAGGGGTTTAGTATCATACCATCATAACATATATGAGAAGAACATAACCCGTGTCATGCCAACAACTGGTTTTTAAATAAATGTGTTTAGTGCCGATGCAAAGACCCTATAAGGGAATCAATATTAACGCCAAAATATGCAATCTTTAATGACCTGACAACAGTATCGTAACTATATCCCTTCTTAATAAGTCTATTTAAAGGTTTTGTTAGCTTCAAAGGTGAATACTGACATTTTTGTGCTTTATAAAGAATATTTCAATGTATCTTATTGTACTTGATATGTCATGTTTTATTCAAATAAAATACATTTTATATCTCTGTAGTTACGTTTATCGTGTAAATTTGTCCATCTGTTTGCAATCCTGAAGTTTGCCATGTCTTAATAAAGACACAATGAAGCTTTTGGTGTCGGTTAATTTAGCCTCTGTGTTTCTTGTGGTCATAACTTACTGTTTTTGTATGTGTTCATCATGGAGGGTAGAAGATAAGTGTATGAAAATTGAATAAACCACGCTCGTTTTGAAAAGATAAACTGCCATTTTTTTCTATTGTATCAGGTGATCCCCAGTCATGTGACTTAACATTGTAATTTGATGATTTAGTCTATGAGAAGTTTTTTTTATGCCCCCGCCGTAGCGGTGGGGGCATTAAGTTTTACCCTTGTCCGTCTGTACGTACTTACGTACGTACGTACGTACGTACGTCCGTCCGTACATCCCAAAATTGGTTTCCGTTCTCTAACTTGAGTTTGCCTCAACCAAATGTTCTGAAACTTATACACAATGCTTATTACCACAAAACACAGATCAAGTTTGAATTTTGGTGGCGTCACTGTAACCGTTCTAGAGTTATGCTCCTTTATAAATGGAAAAATTGGAAAAATTTTAGTTTTCTGTTCTCTGACTTCAGTTTGCCTCAACCAAATGTTATGAAACTTATACACAGTGCTTATTACCACAAAACACAGATCAAGTTTGAATTTTGCTGGCGTCACTTTAACCGTTCTAGAGTTATGCCCCTTTATAAATGGAAGAATTGCAAAATTTTAAGTTTCCGTTCTCTAACTTAAGTTTGCCTCAACTAAATGTTATGAAACTTATACACAATGCTTATTACCACAAAACACAGATCAAGTTTGAATTTTTGTGGTGTCACTTTAACCGTTCTAGAGTTATTCCCCTTTACAAACGGAAAAATTGCAAAATTTTTATTTTCTGGTAAATATCAAGTAATTTATATTAAAATTGGAGTTATCTTCCATGATTGAATCAACTACAATCAATGCTTTCTACAATGCAATGTTTAATTTTTACTTCCACTGATAAAACACAGATCAAGTTGAATTTGGGTAGTGTCACTTTAACCATTATTGAGTTATGCCCCTTTATAAATCGAAAGATTGCAAAATTTTTAGTTTTCATTCTGTAACTTAAGTTTGCCCCAACCAAACATTATGAAACCTATACACAATATTCATTACCACAAAACTAAGATCAAGTACAAAATTTTTGTTTCCGTTTTCTAATTAATTTGCCTCAACCAAATGTTATGAAACTTATACACAATGCTTATTACTACATAATACAGATTAAGTACGAAATGAGGTCAACACTTTTTCCATTCTTGAGTTATTTCCCTTTATAAACATAAAAATTGCTGAATTTTTTAGTTTGTTTCAACCAAATGTTATAAAACTTATACACAACCGTTCTATAGTTATGCGTGTTTACAAATAGAAAAATTGCTGAATTTATAGTTTCTGTTCTCTACTTGAGTTAGCCTAAACCAAATGTTATGAGACTTACACAGAATGCATATTACCACTTAACCCATTTCTCTGACGTCAGTCTATTGTTCTTACTGTAGATTATTTTTCAAGATTCCACTGACCACAGTATTAACTTAAGAGAACTTATACTATAACTTTAAACTTTTAACTTACGATGTTTTATCCTCTCAAAAACGAATGGCATGTGTAGGATTCGAACCCGCGCGCATTTTCTTCATAATCAATAGAGTCTTCAATCTATGCATGATACCACTAGACCACGATGGCTGACATCTATCATGATATGAATAGTACTCTTAAAGCGCTTAATTGTCAATACATGTCATTTAACTGTATTTCTGTCTCATTGATAATTCGCTTTTGTAATCTAATGAAATATATATATCTTGGTTTGTTCATGTTTATTGAATTTGTTTTATTTTGGGTGTTATTGTTTTTTTTAAAAGAAATCGGGGTTTAAACTACTTCTTTGACAGTAAAAGCAGAAACAAAATCATCGCCATTGTATGAAAATGAAATATATAATACTTCTACATGTTCTAGGATTAAAACAATATTTTGGTCCAGAAAAAAATTACAATGAAAAAATTTCATTCCGGATACAAGGTTCGAACTTTGCACTGTTAATATCACCGTTGTGACATTCGTTACCAACGACTAGACAATCACGGCTATGAACACCTTGAAGGTAAATTAATGAAATCAACATAATTATTCATTGTACATCCGTAGCAAGAGCAATTCTGATGGGGATTCAGAATGCTTACCACAGATAAAACTAGTTTATTGACCGGTGAACGATATATGCCAAATGTAATAACGTTAAAATAATCTTAACTTAATGAAACGGAAACAGTTTAAACAAAATTTAAATATAATTGTTCAATTTAAATCGTAAACATACAATTTTAATACTTCAGGAAAGGAACATGAATTTGAGCATTATTAAATAGCAGATTTATGGCATTAACGCTAACAATATTTATTTGACTAAGAACAGCTTAACGGTCTTTAGTCTTCAATTTACCAAATCATGTTGCTAAATATTATATATATAAATTTTGAAGGTTCTAAATTTTGGTAATTAAATTTTTTTAACTTTTCAAAACAAGATAAATAAATTCTGTATATTAATATATGTCTTTTTGAATAAATTAAATATACCAAAATCAATTCAATTTAAATAATTTGTAATGATTAAACATTAAATGAAATATGTATATACAAAAATAAAATCGTGTGTTAAAAAGGGGAGCTAACACCCCATTTAAGTTATCTTAAACTTATGTTAACTTGTCAAATGTCTAAATATAGATGCGAACCGTGTGGATATAATCATTTCCAGCTATTATAGATAAAAAAAACAAAATACGAAACTTTTTTTATGAAATATCGTTGATTCATTGTCAAAACGTAAAACAGACAGTCGTTTTACTAGAAATGGGTTGAGCTAAAGAATTGATAAGAAGTAGTGGATTCGGAAACGATAATCAACTTGCGACTAAAGTCCCTCGTTGATTATCGTTTACGAATCCACTAATTCTTATCAATTCTTTACTACAAAACTCAGATCAAGTTCAAATTTGGGTAGCGTCACTTTTACCGTTCTTCAGTTATGTCCCTTAAAACTATATGATATGCAAGCGGGGGCATCATCTGTGTCCACATGTGGACACTATCCACATTTATTTTATAAATACGTTTCTACTTTGTAACTTTTAAACAGTAACAACTGTTTAAAACCAATCAAGAAATTATGATTGAAAACATGATAATCCCATAATTGTAACGTGAACGAATTTAATTAGGAACAAGTTGAACCTGTCATTGATTTGTTTTGACATCAATTAGACCCATTGATTGAGGTGTGATAATCCAGATTAACAGCTAGAATCAACAAACAAAAAATAAAAATTATTAGATTTTAACAATTTATTTCAGCACTAATTCATAACATAACGGTGACCATTTAAAAAACTTCCAGTTTAGACTTCCTGTTTGCCAACAAACAACAAACATTAACTTGTGGGTTATAAAAAATAGATAACTATTAAAATTCTTTATTCAGCTACAATAAATTCTTTCCATGATATTAATCATGACTTCTCATTAAATCTTGCCGAAAAAAATCATGCTCAAGCAACATTTTACCGATTTTGGAGCTGTGACTTTTCCGAAAATGTCTATGTGTATTATACGAAGAAGAAACTTTTTTTTCAAGTTTCTTGGACCATAAAGGGGGTGCGCACAATACACAAATGCGCACTATAGACACCAAAAGACAGTACTTTTTTTGCTTTGTAGATTTCAATAACTCTGTACACGATGTTTGTAGAGGAAAATGAAGCTCACTTTTGATTTGGACTGTTTTTAAATTGTGTTGTTTCAGACTCATGGGACTTAATGGTAAAAAATTAGAAAATCTTTCTATTTCTTACAATAATGTAAGTTTTCAGTATTGAATTTTAAAATTTTTATTAAACCACCCTCAACCCCCACAAACAATATCTTGGTGGATATAAAGGAATCACACTGTCCTCCTGTCTGTCCATCTGTCTATCTGGTAAGTGCAACTCCTCCAAACAGGCTTGATGTGATGAAACTGTACACAGATGTAGAATGCTACCTTGGGAGGAATAAATCCTTGTCTTACATGTTGAAGGGGAGATAATCAAATTTATATTAAATTGGTTTCTAGAGTTCTCCACTCTTTCCAATGTGTGTTTAATAGTTCTTGTGTTATTTTGATATTTTATGTATATTTCAGCAATATTATCCAGTCAACTATTTACGTAATGTAGCTTTAAAACAAGTCAATACGCCATATGTGTTCCTGTCTGATGTAGATTTCCTACCCATGCATGGATTATATGAATATTTAAAGAAGGCTTTACCATTGATGGATATGGAAAACAGTAAAAAAGTTAGTACCAGTTTGTAAACAACATTAAAAATAAATCATTGTCAATGGCCTTCAAGTTATGAACTATCTGCACTATGAATTTCAAATTTTTAAGAATGTATTTTCAGTTTTACATTTATTACAAATTATTTTTGAAATCGATTTGAGTACAAATGTTTTGCATGTCTACTACTTATAGTCAAGTTGGAAATGATATGTTGAGAATTAGATTTTTATATTATTCATAAATGTTCAAGCATTTTATGGTCTTTTCAGCTTTGATTATTCCAGATTTTATGTACTTTACAGCATTTTATTGTTTTAGAAGTGTATGTTCTTTACAGGCCTTTGATAATTGTTCAGGCATTTAATGTTCTTTACATGCTTTTATTTTTTTAGCATTTTATATTCTTTACAGTCTTTTATTGTTCCTTCCCAGGCATTGATTGATCAAGTATTTCATGTTCTTTACATGCATTAATTGTTCAAGCATTTGGTGTTCTTTACATGCATTCATTGTTCAAGCATTTCATTTTCTTTACATGCATTAATTGTTCAAGCATTTGGTATTCTTTACATGCATTTATTGTTCAAGCATTTCATTTTCTTTACAGGCATTAATTGTTCAAGGATTTGGTGTTCTTTGCAGGCATTAATTGTTCAAGCATTTGATGTTCTTTACATGCATTAATTGTTCTTCAAGCATTTTGGTGTTCTTTACATGTATTAATTGTTCAAGCAGTTGGTGGTCTTTACAGGCATTAATTGTTCAAGCATTTGGTATTCTTTATATGCATTAAGTGTTCAAGCATTTGATTTTCTTTACAGGCATTAATTGTTCCAGCATTTGAAACACAAAGGTACAGAATAGACTTTCCTAAATCTAAGGCAGAATTACTGTCACAGCTGGACATGGGTGATCTCTTCACATTTAGGTAGGTGCACATAAACAACAGCTAACAGAGAATACATATTATACTCCTGCTTAAAGATACCTGGGGTTAAATTGTTTTTTGTTTATTATATTGTATATTTTTCTCGAGCATTAATTGATGTTTTTTTACATACATTAATTGTTCCAGCATTTGAAACACAAAGGTACAGAATAGGCTTTCCCAAATTCGAGGCAGAATTATGAAATGTCAAAGATCAACTTAACAACTTAACTGAATGATAAAGTCCACTCTTGCATCAAATCTTTTCAATGGCAGAACTGATACTTATTTGTTAGTCATAGGTCAAAGGTCAATTGGTTGACAATGTAAAGGACCACAAAACTGTAATAATTTGAACATATCTTATTAAATAAAATACTTTAACATCAATCATCATATTGACTCTGATAAATTTCGATATTAGACTAAATCTTAGAATTATATATGAGTCTATATGGATAATGCCATGCAATTATTTAGATATTTAGAACTTTTGCAGGATGAATATTGCACAATTTGAAACTTGATTACTTCACATTTCCATTTTCTCTTTTTATTTTATTTACATTATTTTTTTTTATAGATTTCATGTTTGGCCAAAAGGACATGCACAGACTAATTATGCCAAATGGAGGATTTCTACACAGCCTTACAAGGTAATTGTTCAATCTGGAAATAATTTTCGATATAACATCAGTCTATTAGTATTATGTATTTTAGAAAATGATAATTTTATTAGAAATTCCTCCACATTTCTGTTTGATTGTTCCTGTGTCATTTTGATGATGTTAGTTTTCTGGAAACTCATTGATCTGTTGGTAGCATACTTATACTTTAACTGTCTAAGGTTGTAGACTCTATCCCTGGCTGTGTCAAACCAAAGAATTGTTATTTGCTCCTTCTTTGCAAAACATACAGGATTCAGAATTCTGGCAAAGATTGTGGAGCATGAAGTCAGAATAATGAGGGTTTTTTTTCTCGAAACATTTGAAAAACAAATTACAATTGTATTGTTTTACCAAAAAAAATTTATATTCAAAAGTAAAGAAAGGTACAAGGCTATTCATTAGTGATTTTTTTTTTAAAATTTGGTCATTTTAAAAGATTTCACTTGTAATAATAAGGTGATTTTTGTATTAGCGGCATCCCAATTTTAGCATTGTAAAATAATAATACATATTTTATTTATAATGGTTCATGTTTCAAAAGGCAGGAGAAAGATACCAAAGGGACATTCAAACTGATAAGTCGAAAATTAACCTGACAATTAATTGCACAGCAAAAAGTGAAAAAAAGACTAATAGACTATATACCTATAGCTAACATCAATATACAAAACACAAGATAGAAAACTAAAGACTGAGTAACATGAACCCACCAAAAATCGGGGGTGATCTCAGATGCACCAGAAGGGAAAGCAGATCCTGCTCTACATGTGAAACCTGTGTTACTTCTATACAATATGTTGATGACAATGTGCCAAAAAAGAAAACAATTGAGGTCTGGAGCTGGCATGTCAGTAACTGCTAGTAGTCTTTTGTTAATTTATGTTGATGATTGTAATTTTGCTTAGTTTTATAGCTCACCGGGGCCTGAAGGGCCCCATGTGAGCTTATGCCATCACTTGGCGTCCATCGTCGTCCGTCGTCTGTCGTCTGTCGTCGTAAACTATTTCAAAAATCTTCTCCTCTGAAACTACTGGGCCAAATACCTTCAAACTTTAACTGAATGTTCCTTAGGGTATCTAGTTTATAAATTGTATCCGAAGCTTAGATCCATCGACAAACATGGCCGCCATGGCTAAAAATAGAACATAGGGGGTAAAATGCAGTTTTTGGCTTATATCTCAAAAACTAAAGCTTTTAGAGCAAATCTGACATGGGGTAAAATTGTTCAATTGGTCAAGTTCTATCAGCTCTGAAATTTTCAGACGAATCGAACAACCCATTGTTGGGTTGCTGCCACCGAATTGGTAGTTTTAACAAAATTTTGCAGTTTTTTGTTATTATTTTGAATTTTATTATAGATATATGTAAATTGTAAGCAGCAATAATGTTCAGCAAAGTAAGATCTACTAAAAAGTTAATATGACCATAATTGTCAATTGACCCCTTAAGGAGTTATTGCCCTTTAATGACAATTTTACACAATTTGTTCATCAAGTTTGCTAACATTTAAAAATCTTCTCCTCTGAAACTACGGGGCCAATTACCTTCAAACTTTAATTAAATGTTCCTTAGGGTATCTTGTTTATAAATTGTATCCGAAGTTTGTATCCATCGACAAACATGGCCGTCATGGCTAAAAATAGAACATAAGGGTCAAATGCAGTTTTTGGCTTATATCTCAAAAACTAAATCATTTAGAGCAAATGTGACATGGGGTAAAATTGTTTAATTGGTCAAGATCTATCGGCCCTGAAATTATCAGAAGAATTGAACAACCCATTGTTGGGTTGCTGCCACCGAATTGGTAGTTTTAAAAAAATTTTGCAGTTTTTTGTTATTATTTTGAATATTATTATAGATATATATAAACTGTAAGCAACAAAAAAGTTAATATGACCAAAATTGTCAATTGACCCCTTAAGGAGTTATTGCCCTTTAAAGACAATTTTACACAATTTTTTCATCAAGTTTGCTAACATTTTAAAATCTTCTCCTCTGAAATACAGGTGAGCGATTCAGGCTCTTGAGAGCCTCTTGTTCTGTTACCTATTCTAACATCGGACTCTGGCTTCTTTTAAACTGAGTTTTACTGTGTGTATTGCTGTGTGTTTGTTTATTCCACATTGGCTAGAGGTATATGGGAGGGTTGAGATCTCACAAAACATGTTAAATCAAGCCGCATTTTTGCGTCTGTCCCAAGTCAGGAACCTCTGGCCTTTGTTAGTCTTGTAAGTTTTTTATGCCCCCGCCGTAGCGGTAGGAGCATTAAGTTTTACCCTTGTCCGTCTGTACGTACGTACTTCCCAAAATTGGTTTCTGTTCTCTAACTTGAGTTTGCCTTAACCAAATGTTATGAAACTTATACACAATGCTTATTATCATAAAACATAGATCAAGTTTGAATTTTGGTGGCGTCAATTTAACCTTTCTAGAGTTATGCCTCTTTATAAATGGAAAAATTGCAAAATTTTTAGTTTCCGTTCTCTAACTTAAGTTTGCCTCAACCAAATGTTATGAAACTTATACACAATGCTTATTACCACAAAACACAGATCAAGTTTGAATTTTGGTGGCGTCACTTTAACCGTTCTAGAGTTATGCCCCTTTATAAATGGAAAAATTGCAAAATTTTTATTTTCTTCTAAATATCAAGTAATTTTAAAATTGGAGTTATCTTCCTTTGTCCATGATTATAGTTGAATCAACTACAATCAATACTTTATACAATGCAATGTTTAATTTTGACTTCAACTGATAAAATGCTGATCAAGTTGAATATGGGTAGTGTCACTTTAACCATTATTGAGTTATGCCCCTTTATAAATCGAAAGATTGCAAAATTTTTAGTTTCCATTCTGTAACTTAAGTTTGCCCCAACCAAACATTATGAAACCTATACACAATATTCATTACCACAAAACTAAGATCAAGTACAAATTTTTTGTTTCCGTTTTCTAACTTCACAGAATGAATGTGGTCTAAGAACTTAAAAATTTTTAAATTTACCTATTATGGTCCAATATCCAAAATCTAAATACATACACTGTTAGATTCAGCATATCAAAGAACCCCAAGAATTCAATTTTTGTTAAAATCAAACTAAGTTTAATTTTGGACCCTTTGGACCTTAATGTAGACCAATTTGAAAACGGGACCAAAAATTAAGAATCTAAATACACGGTTAAATTCAGCATATCAAAGAACCCCAATATTTCAATTTTTGATGAAATCAAACCATATCATTATTATTTGCTTTTATATATAAATTAAAAATAACCAACTGAAAATGGAAAATTTTAAAGAAAAAAAAAGGAAAAAAAATCCCCCCCCTCCAATTTTTTGAACACCATTATGATTCATCACCCCCAAACTCAATCCCAGCCTTCCCTTTGTGGTATGGTACCTTGCAGTACAATTTCGGAGAGATCCATACACTTGAAAACAAGTTATTGTCTGGAAACTGTAAAACTGCTTGTTTTTTTGCCCCTTTTTGGCCCCAAATTCCTAAACATTTAGGGCAATTACCCCCAACCTCAAACACAGCTTTCCCTTTGTGATATGGAACCTTGTAGTACAAATTCATAAAGATCCATACACTTACACACAAGTTATTGTCCTGTAACTAGAAAAATGCTTGTTTTTTTTTCCTTTTTGGCCCCTAATTCCTAATATTTTGAGGCAATTACCCCCAAAATCAATCCCAGCCTTCCCTTTGTGGTATGGTACCTTGCAGTATAATTTCAGAGATCCATACACTTGAACACAAGTTATAGTCTGGAAACTAGAAAAATGCTTATTTTTAGCCCCTTTTTGGCCCCTTTTTCCTAAACGTTTTGGGCAATTACCCCTAAAAATCAATTCCAACTTTCCCTTTGTGATATGGAACCTTGTAGTACAATTTCAGAAAGATCCATACACTTACACACAAGTTATTGTCATGAAACTAGAAAAATGCTTGTTTTTTGCCCCCTAATTCCTAAAATTTTGAGGCAATTACCCCCAAAAGCAATCCCAGCATTTCCTTTGTGATATAGAACCTTGTGGTACAATGTCAGAGAGATCCATACACTAACACACAAGTTATTGTCTGGAAGTTACAAAAATGCTTATTTTTGGCCCCTAATTCCTTAACTGTTGGTACCATAACCCCCAAAATCAAACCCAACCTTCCTTTTGTGGTATTGAACCTTATGGTAAAATTTCATAGAGATCCATTCACTTAAACTAAAGTTATTGTGCGAAAACCAATGTGTCTTCGGATGACGAAGCCGGACGACGAGGACGCCAACATCATACCAATATATGACCACAAAAAAAAAAATGCTTATTTGGGCCTCTTTTTGCCCCCTAACTCCTAAACAGTTGGGACCATACACCCCAAAATCAATCCCAACCTTCCTTTAGTGGTTATAAACCTTGTGTTAAAATTTTATTGATTTCTATTTACTCATACTAAAGTTATTATCCAGAAACCATCTGTCTTCGGCTGATACTGGACGACGACAAAGTGGTGACCAAAATACGACCAAAATTTTTTTAATTTTTGCGGTCATATTAAAATTGCTGAATTTTTATTTTCTGTTCTCTACTTAAGTTAGCCTCAACCAAATGTTATTAGACTTACACACAATGCTTATCACCACAAAACTCAAATCAAGTTGAAATTTGGGTAGCCTCACTTTTACGGTTCTTCAGTTATGTCCCTTTATAACTGTATGATATGCAAGCGGGGGCATCATCTGTGTCCACATGTGGACACTATCCACATTTATTAAATTTTGTTTCATTTATATGTTTCAGAGTTTAGTGTGACGTCCATTTTCGCTGAACTAGTATACATTATTGTTTAGGGGCCAGCTTAAGCCCGCCTCTGGGTGCGGGATTTTCTCACTGTGTTGAAGACTCATCAGTGGCCATGGGCTGTTTTCTGCTCTTTGGTCTTGTTGTTGTCTCTTTGACACATTCCCTGTTTCCATTCTCAATTTTGATTAAAATATGCACTACAGATAATAAAGCTGTTGTAGTATTATGTCTAGTTTATTTTTACAGGTTGAATGGAACCATGATTTTGAACCTTATATAGTTGTCGGTAAAGACATTCCAAAGTTTGACCAAAGATTTGTTGGGTTTGGATGGAACAAAGTCTCGCATATAATGGAGTTAGATGTTTTAGGGTATGTTGTAATGGAATTCCTTCCTAAAAAAAAATCAGTGATTCGCTCTACAATAATAATCTTTTATTTTGTCTCCTTTTCAATGAAGGGAGACATAATGTTTACTATTTCTTCTTCTTCTGGTTCTAAAACAACCTTGTCGAAGCAAAAACTTTTTTTTATCTTTTGACATTGACTAATGATTTTTTGCAGGAAGATGTATTACCATAAGGCAGTGCGTCGCATATGACCTTTACCTCCAAAATCATATCTTAGGTCATTTTCTTGTCTAGAACATAACTTTTTTTATCTCTTAACATAGGCTTTTCATATTTGGCACATGAGTGCATCACCTCAAGATGATATATCATTTACCATTGATCATATACCACTGAAGATGACAGTGATCTTTGACTTATTAACTTCTCATCATATTATTTGTATGAAGCTAAAAGTATTTCCTAAAATTGCATTTATTAATTTTTTCATTTTTGTTTGTTGACCAACAATCTTATTAATACATGCACAAATCATTCCTGTATTTACAGTATTTAAAAAATGAAAGGGATTACAGAAGAAATAACCAATTTTGCTCTATTTATTTTACCAGATGACTAAAACATGCTGCTGGCAATTTTCTCTGGTGCCAACATTCTGCCTTATTTGTTCATTTGTCTTTAATCATATCTGCAAATTTCACAAATAAATGCATTATTTACTACTGCATATGAATATGTACAATTTCATCATCTGACAGGTGTATGACAAATTAGAAAGATACATCATTTCAAGTGACCAAAAACAGTAACTTTGAAGTTTACTGTTGAATTTTAAATTACTGTAGTTAAGTTTTCCCTGAAATAAAAACTCACTAGAATACCATAAAATATTTTGTTTTTACAGATATGAGTATTACGTCTTACCTAATGCCTTTATGATCCACATGCCTCATGCTCCTAGCTTTGACATTGCCAAATTTAGATCAAGTTCTAACTACAGGAGGTGAGTGTCATATAATAAACGTACAAACTTGTCAATATGATTCAGACTTGTATAAAAATATACATTCAAGTTTTGCTTTTAAAAGTTTGATATACGGTCATTAAAAACTATGTCTGTTGTAAAGTTTTTATTAAATGAGTTTTTGCCCATGTTTGAAGAAGCCTAAAACCTGCTTATAGTACAGTGATGGGTGGGTGGGGAAAAGTGGGTACCTAATTTGTGTAATAAATTACTCCTACATTTTTCAACCCAGATCCCTGAATTTTCAAAGGAAGGTTGTGCATATATGTTGAAGTTGTGCACCAGCTATATATATATATTATGCAATTGTTTCAGGATTTGTTTTCTCTTTTTCCAGACTTGTGAACTTAGTCATGTTATGGAATCGGTTGAAGTTCCATCCTTGGGAACTTATTTTTTTTCAAAATTGTTTTAATATCCCCTTCATATAATTGCAAGTACATTGTAAGCATTCTACATTGATTTGTCATAAATATTGAAACTGTTGTCAGTCATTAGACAGAATAATGTCTTTTTTGCTTTCTTTCCATTCCGTAACATATACCCTCCATGATCTTATGCTATCAAAATGTCTGTCATATTTTGAACCTAGATTTGTTGTATTTATGATCTATTTATTTTTATGCCCCCGCCGCTAGGCGTCATGGGCATTAAGTGTAACCCTTGTCCGTCTGTCCATCGCGTACATCCCCAAAATTGGTTTCCGTTCTCTAACTTTAGTTTGCCTCAACCAAATGTTATAAAACTTACACACAATACTTATTATCATAAAACACAGATCAAGTTCGAAATTGGATGGCGTCAATTTTACCATTCATGAGATATGCCCCTTTATAAACATAAAAATTGTTGAATATTTTGTTTCTGTTCTCTAACTTAAGTTTGCTTCAACCAAATGTTATGAAACTTATACACAATGCTTATTACCACAAAACACAGCTCAAGTTCGAAATTGGGTGGCATCAATTTTACCGTTCATGAGATATGCCCCATGGTAAACATAAAAATTGCTGAATTTTTCGTTTCCGTTCTCTAACTTTAGTTTTCCTCAACCAAATGTAATGAAACTTATACACTATGCTTATTATCACAAAACGGTCTTAACTACGTGAATCCTGCATCTGTATGTGGAAGTTGACTCATGCATATTTACAAGTGGGGGCATCTGTGGCCCATAGACACATTCTCCATTTATTTTATTTTACATGTTATTTATCAAAGGTCAGGATTTAATTTGTTAAATGAAAAAGTTTTCGTCCAATATATTCCTTTTTGGTGTAGTATTGGCTTTATTGCTCTTCTTTTTTTACACCCGCCCTTTTTATAGTATGTTTTCTGGTCTGTGCAATGCAGTGATATTGTTTGCCTCAAATTACATCCGAAATTCAGCTTTTTCCAATAGAGAAAATTCCCAATTAATAAAAAAAAAATGGCTTAAAATTCCTCCCAATAAGTTTTAACATTTTTCCCAAAAGTGATGGCATTGGTATTAATGAATGTAAATTTTGTATTCATGTTATTATTTTGATATTATGAAAGCGCTTTTGAGATCCAGGTTTCTGATCAGAATCATCACGGTGTTTGTAACAAATGTGGTTTTCAATGCATTAAGTACAGTTGGGTGCAGACCAAGCATTACATGTAGACGGGCGGTAAAAGTTAACGCGGCGTTTACTCGCGTGCACTTCTTGTAAACGCCGCGTTAACTGTGCGTTAACTCTGAAATTTCAGTTGACATAAAAAGTAAACGGGGTTTACTTTCGCGTTTACCTCCGCGTTAACGCAAAATCAGCGCGTCTTCTAATTTTGTAAAGAGTAAACGGGTGTTTACTTTCGCATTTACTTCTGCATTAACGTGAAAAAGGCGCTTCTTCTAATTTCGCCAAAAGTAAACACACGTTTACTAATTGTAGTAAACGCGCGTTAACGCATATGGTCATCATATCCTGGATACACTGACCTTAAATATCAAAAACAATGACAACAAAATTTGGTTCGCATCAATTTATAGTGCCAGCATGTCCTCTTTTTATTTAAAATATTGAATCGTAAACAAATATCGGTAGTTTTCATACCTCAGACTGACTCATATAACAAATTATTTGTCTGCAACTACCAAAACTGACCATTTTTCCACTATGTCATGCAAATCTATGTAGCTGCATAGTAAATCAGTTATATTTTTAGGTCAGGACGGAGTGTATAATACAAATGACAGTTATATTAGAAAACAATGACTACAAAATTTTGATCGCATCAATTTATAGTGCCAGCATGTCCTCTTTTTATTCAAAATATTAAATTGTAAACAAGTATCAGAAGTTTTCATACCTAAGGCCGACTCGAATAACAAAATTATTTGTCCGCATCAACCAAAACTGACCATATTTGCACTTTATTGTGTAAATCTTAATAGCTGCATAGTAAATCAGTTATATTTTTATATCAGGATGGATTGTATAATACAAATGACAGCAATATTGGAAAACAATGACTACAAAGTTTGTTCGCATTAATTTTTAGTGCCAGCATGTCTCCTTTTTATTCAAAATATTGAATCGTAAACAAATATCAGTAGTTTTCATACCTCAGACTCACTCGTATAACAAAATTTGTTTGTCCGCATCAACCAAAACTGACCATATTATCACTTTATCAAGTAAATATATATAGCTGCACAGTAATTCAGTTATATTTTTAGGTCAGGAGGTACTGTATAATACAAATTACAGCAATATTTGAACACATTGAATACAAAATTTTGTTGGCATTAATTTATAGTGCCAGTATGTTCTCTTTATATTCAAAATATTTAATCGTTAACAAATATCACTAGTTTTCATGCCTCAGACTGACATGTATAACAAAATTATTTTTCTGCATCAACCAAAACTGACCTTATTTGCTCTTCTTTATGTAAATCTTAAAGTCGCATAGTAAATCAGTAATATTTTTATGTAAGGATGGATTGTATAATACAAATAATAGACATATTGGAAAACAATGACTACAAAATTTTGTTCGCATCAATTTATAGTGCCAGAATGTTCCCTTTTTATTGAAAATATTGAATCGTAAACAAATATCAGTAGTTTTCATACCTCAGACTGACTTGATTACAAAATTATTTGACCGCATCAACCAAAACTGACCATATTTGCTCTTTTATTGTAAATCTTATAGTCGCATAGTAAATCAGTAATATTTTTATGTAAGGATGGATTGTATAATACAAATAATAGACATATTGGAAAACAATGACTACAAAATTTTGTTCGCATCAATTTATAGTGCCAGAATGTTCCCTTTTTATTGAAAATATTGAATCGTAAACAAATATCAGTAGTTTTCATACCTCAGACTGACTTGATAACAAAATTATTTGACCGCATCAACCAAAACTGACCATATTTGCTCTTTTTTTGTAAATCTTATAGTCGCATAGTAAATCATTAATATTTTTATATTGGGATGGATTGTATAATACAAATGACCGCAATATTGGAAAACAATGACCATATAAACAAATATCAGTAGTTTTCATACCTCAGACTCACTCGTATAACAAAATTTTTTTGTCCGCATCAACCAAAACTGACCATATTATCACTTTATCAAGTAAATATATAAAGCTGCACAGTAATTCAGTTATATTTTTAGGTCAGGAGGAACTGTTTAATACAAATTACAGCAATATTGGACCACAATGACTACAAAATTTTGTTCACATCAATTGTGAGTGCCAGCATGTCCTCTTTTTATTCAAAATATTGAATCGTAAACAAATATCGGTAGTTTTCATACCTCAGACTGACTCATATAACAAAATTATTTGTCCGCAACAACCAAAACTGACCATTTTTCCACTATGTCATGCAAATCTATGTAGCTGCATAGTAAATCAGTTACATTTTTAGGTCAGGAGGGAGTGTATAATACAAATGACAGTTATATTAGAAAACAATGACTACAAAATTTTGATCACATCACTTTATAGTGCCAGCATGTCCTCTTTTTATTCAAAATATTAAATTGTAAACAAATATCAGAAGTTTTCATACCAAAGGCTGACTCGTATAACAAAATTATTTGTCCGCATCAACCAAAACTGACCATATTTGCACTTTATTGTGTAAATCTTAATTGCTGCATAGTAAATCAGTTATATTTTTATATCAGGATGGATTGTATAATACAAATGACAGCAATATTGGAAAACAATGACTACAAAATTTTGTTCGCATTAATTTTTAGTGCCAGCATGTCTCCTTTTTATTCAAAATATTGAATCGTAAACAAATATCAGTAGTTTTCATACCTCAGACTGACTCGTATAACAAACTTATTTTTCCGCATCAACCAAAACTGACCTTATTTGCTCTTTTACATGTAAATCTTATAGTCGCAGAGTAAATCAGTAATATTTTAATGTAAGGATGGATTGTATAATACAAATAATAGACATATTGGAAAACAATGACTACAAAATTTTGTTCGCATCAATTTATAGTGCCAGAATGTTCCCTTTGTATTCAAAATATTGAATCGTAAACAAATATCAGTATTATTGATACCTCAGACTGCCTTGATAACAAAATTATTTGACCGCATCAACCAAAACTGACCATATTTGCTCTTTTTTTGTAAATCTGATAGTCGCATAGTAAATCAGTAATATTTTTATATTTGGATGGATTGTATAATACAAATGACCACAATATTGGAAAACAATGACCACAAAATTTGGTTCCCATCAATTTATAGTGCCAGCGTGTCCTCTTTTTATTCAAAATATTGAATCGTAAAGAAATATCAGTAGTTTTCATATTTCAGACTGACTCGTATAACAAAATTATTTGTCTGCATCAACCAAAACTGACCATATTTGCACTTTATTATGTAAATCTTAATAGCTGCATAGTAAATCAGTTATATTTTTAGGTCAGGAGGTAGTGTATAATACAAATGACAGTTATATTAGAAAACAATGACTACAAAATTTTGATCGCATCAATTTATAGTGCCAGCATGTCCTCTTTTTATTCAAAATATTAAATTGTAAACAAATATCAGAAGTTTTCATACCTAAGGCTGACTCGTATAACAAAATTATTTGTCCGCATCAACCAAAACTGACCATATTTGCACTTTATTGTGTAAATCTTAATTGCTGCATAGTAAATCAGTTATATTTTTAGGTCAGGAGGTAGTGTATAATACAAATGACAGTTATATTAGAAAACAATGACTACAAAATTTTGATCGCATCAATTTATAGTGCCAGCATGTCCTCTTTTTATTCAAAATATTAAATTGTAAACAAATATCAGAAGTTTTCATACCTAAGGCTGACTCGTATAACAAAATTATTTGTCCGCATCAACCAAAACTGACCATATTTGCACTTTATTATGTAAATCTTAATAGCTGCATAGTACATGTAGTAAATCAGTTATATTTTTATATCAGGATGGATTGTATAATACAAATGACAGCAATATTGGAAAACAATGAGTACAAAATTTTGTTTGCATTAATTTTTAGTGCCAGAATGTCTTCTTTTTATTCAAAATATTGAATCGTAAACAAATATCAGTAGTTTTCATACCTCAGACTCACTCGTATAACAAAATTTGTTTGTCCGCATCAACCAAAACTGACCATATTATCACTTTATCAAGTAAATATATATAGCTGCACAGTAATTCAGTTATATTTTTAGGTCAGGAGGTACTGTATAATACAAATTACAGCAATATTTGAACACATTGAATACAAAATTTTGTTGGCATTAATTTATAGTGCCAGTATGTCCTCTTTATATTCAAAATATTTAATCGTTAACAAATATCACTAGTTTTCATACCTCAGACTGACATGTATAACAAAATTATTTTTCTGCATCAACCAAAACTGACCTTATTTGCTCTTTTTTATGTAAATCTTATAGTTGCAGAGTAAATCAGTAATATTTTTATGTAAGGATGGATTGTATAAAACAAATAATAGACATATTGGAAAACAATGACTACAAAATTTTGTTCGCATCAATTTATAGTGCCAGAATGTTCCCTTTTTATTGAAAATATTGAATCCTAAACAAATATCAGTATTATTGATACCTCAGACTGACTTGATAACAAAATTATTTGACCGCATCAACCTAAACTGACCATATTTGCTCTTTTTTTGTAAATCTTATAGTCGCATAGTAAATCAGTAATATTTTTATATTGGGATGGATTGTATAATACAAATGACCGCAATATTGGAAAACAATGACCACAAAATTTGGTTCCCATCAATTTATAGTGCCAGCATGTCCTCTTTTTATTCAAAATATTGAATCGTAAACAAATATCAGTAGTTTTCATATTTCAGACTGACTCGTATAACAAAATTATTTGTCTGCATCAACCAAAACTGACCATATTTGCACTTTATTATGTAAATCTTAATAGCTGCATAGTAAATCAGTTATATTTTTATATCAGGATGGATTGTATAAAACAAATGACAGCAATATTGGAAAACAATGACTATAAAATTTGTTCGCATTAATTTTTAGTGCCAGCATGTCCTCTTTTATTCAAAATACTAAATCCTTAAAAAAATATCAGTAGTTTTTATACCTCAGTTTGACTCGTATAACAAAATTTTTTGTCCCCATAAACCAAAAATGACTATATTTGCACTTCATCAATTAAGTATTATAGCTGCACAGTAATTCAGTTCTATTTTCAGGTCAGGATGTACTGTATAATACAAATTACAGCAATATTAGAACACATTGACTACAAAATTTTGTTTGCATCATTTTATAGTGTCAGTATGTCCTCTTTTTATTCAAAATATTGAATTGTAAACAAATATCAGTAGTTTTCATACCTCAGACTGACTTGTATAACAAAATTATTTTTCCGCATCAACCAAAACTGACCTTATTTGCTCTTTTTTATGTAAATCTTAAAGTCGCATAGTAAATCAGTAATATTTTTATGTAAGGATGGATTGTATAATATAAATGTTAGCCATATTGGAAAACAATGAATACAAAATTTTGTTTGCATCAATTTATAGTGCCAGCATGTTCCCTTTTTATTGTACATATTGAATTGTAAACAAATATCAAAACTGACCATATTTTCTCTTTTTTATGTAAATCGCATAGTAAATCAGTAATACTTTTATATCAGGATGAATTGTATAATACAAATGACAGCAATATTGGAAAAAAATGACTAAAAAATTTGTTTCGCATCAATTTATAGTGCCAGCATGTCCTGTTTTTATTCAAAATATTGAATCATAAACAAATATCAGTAGTTTTCATACCTCAGACTGACTCATTATTTGTCCACATCAACCAAAACTGACTATATTTGCACTATATCATGCAAATCTATATAGCTGCATAGTAAATTAGTTATATTTTTAAGTCAGGAGGAACTGTATAAAACAAATGACGGTAATATTAGAAAACAATGACTACAAAATTTTGTTCGCATTTATTTATAGTGCCAGCATGTCCTCTTTTTATTCAAAATATTGAATCTTCAACAAATTTTGTTGTTTTCATACCTTAGACTGACTCATATAACAAAATTATTTGTCCGCATCAACCAAAACTGACCATATTTGCACTTTATTATGGAAATCTTTATAGTTGCATAATGAACTGTCACTAAAGTCAGTAGTTCGGGATGGTTTGTATTTAAAACAAAACTATAATATTTAACGACATCATCCAACAATGACATGACTGATTAAAGTAATTTATTATGAAAAGTATGAGAAGTTCTCTTCTTGTAATAGTGTACTGTTAATATATTATGGTGTTTGATTGATTTTGTTTGTAGCTTAATGTCCAGGGGCAAATATTTTATTCATGTTCAGAACGAGTATATTTTTCTGACGTCCCAGATATCATTTATAATCGTTCTGGATAAGTCTGTCTAAATTGACGAGATGGTACAGATGTACATACTTATACAACACCTTATCAATATCCCTATATATACACTGTACAATTTTCGATTGAACATTTGGCAAAACAGAATCCTAAATCATGTAAATCCAAGGCAAACAAGGTGAATTACGATTAAAAATCAATGTATTAAATGCATAGAGTTATATTTAGGAAGAGACTGTTAAAAATGGGGAACGAAGCAACGTGAACCATGATGTTTATATCCCATCATATACAAATATTTTTCCGATGTGTTGGATAACCTTTCTATCCGCCTCGATATTTGTACATGTAACTTTTGAAAAAAAATATAGAAAATCTGCATCTCAGCAAAATTATTGGAAATGATTTTTTGTAATTAATAAAAGTTAATATTTCTAATCAAAAGTGTTTTTGAATTGTTCTGGTTTGAAACACTTGTACGTAAAATATTAAGATACAAGTGTTTCAATTAAAATAAATGTACAAATGAACACGAAGTTTATTTCTTAATTTACACAATCAGTTAACGTGAAAAGTAAACGTGCGTTTACTTTCAAGTGCACGTAGAAATACACTTGTGAAATCTGTAGTAAATGCCTGTTTACTTTTAAGTGCACGTAAAAATAAACTTGTGAAATCTGAGGTAAATGCCAGTTTACTACTGACTAAACGGACACAGAGTAAACGCCTGTTTACTCGGGTAGACATTAGAAATTTCCATTTTGAACGCGTTAACGTAATTATAGTAAACGCGCGTTTACTAGTAAATGTGAAAATTGAAGTTAACTAACGAAATATGTGCACGCGGCGTTAACTTGCGTTTACTTTATATAATGCTTGGTCTGCACCCAACTGTACCATCATCATTGTTTTCATCTCTTTCCCCTCCACAAAAAGTACCTTTCAGGTTTAAAATGTCTGACAATCAAAATATACGTGATAAAACTGTGCAAAAAAGACAGTAAAGTTTAGCAAAAAATCGGAGATGTGTTTAAAAAAAAACAAAAAACTTCCCAATTTCAATAAAAATTATGCATTTTTCCCAAAAAAAAATGGTAGAGGTAGTTTTGAAAAAAAGACAACAATATCACTGATATGTCACTCTGTTTGTCTGTCTTGTCTCCTGTTTAAGTATTGACATAAGGTAGTTAAATATGAAGTTGTGGTCACATCAACTTTGACGTTAGTACTCATGTTCATTTTGATTTAAACTTTTCTGAACATAGAAATGTGATTGTACAAGTGAGGCATGGTGTCCTATGGACACAAATAAATCCTTGTTTAATTTACATTTCCAACATTTTGTTCAGAGCACCACTGATGAGGAGTATATTTTCAAATTTGCATATTGTACATCAAATGAGTATCTTGTAATTTTATATTGTTATAGTGTATTCATGTTATACCAGTATTTTGTAGTTTTTTTATAAACAAAAAAACATGTTAAATACATACACAATGATGCAACTTTGTTACATTTTTAATTGCAGATGTCTTAAATTGCTCAAAGCTGAATTTAAACGAGACCTTTCATTGAAACATGGATTGAAAGCTTTAAAATATTTGTCAAATGATTGATTTTACAAGAAACAGAAGCCAATGTGAAATGAAAAGTAACAAATGGAAGATGTGGGAGAATATATTGTTTCAGTTTTATTCATGTAGTCAGAAAGTAATTCACACTATATTGAGATGCAGCTTACAAAATGCATTTACAAACTATCAAGGGAGACCATACAAATACATAAATATAAAATAGTCTGTCTAATAACAAAGGAGAGAGAAAAAGAGATCTATTTAAGTTTGGAGAACTTCTGCTTACCACTGAGAAAATGAATTGCATATATTTTAAATGTGACATCTAAAAAGGCAGTGGTGAAAACTGAGTAGAAAAGTGTGACAAGGAGAAACAAATTGATACAAATCATATCCTATTGATTCATTGTATTGAAGTGATTGCAGCATTTGAGTAAGGTTGATTAAAGTCAGAGTTGTACATTTTTTAAACAGGTTGAATATGAAAGTGCAATAATGTATATGTGAAACAAATATCTGGTATATAGATAAAGAGAACTCTGTTTTGAATATGTAAATGTGTAATTTTAGCTGCAGTTTGGCAGGAAGGATCTGCATTTTAGTCATTTAACTTGGTTTAAGTGGTTTTGACTCTTTTTCTGTGTTTATTTATATTATATATGATATTACTAAGTGTTTTATATACATAGCTATAGGTATGTACAGGTGAATCTTAAAACTGTTCCTGTTTAGAGAAGAAATACATAATTGAGGTAGTATCTCATCAAATACTAACAAGTTGAAGGGAGCTTTACTAATAATGACTTTAATTTGATATACAGAAAATTATGTACATGATAATTTTCTTTTTTGCAAATAATCAATTCCTTTTTTCTTAAATTTAAAGATATTTAACCATTTGATATGTATTTAAACCAATATTACTCTTTTTAAATCAGTTTACTACTGAAGATTCTACTTCTGAGTAACCTCCCATTGGACATTGAGCAACCAACAAACAATCAATCTGAGTAACCTCAGTACCACCACCTGAGGGATTTGGGTTTCTGTGCCTGATATAATGACAAAAGAGCATGAAATGAAATTATTTATTACTAACGCTTGCAAAAAATTGTATACCTACCAATACATTTTTTGGTTGTAAAGGAGAAATTTTAAAAAGTATGCTTACTTTGTTCCAGATATGGACTTTTCGTACATTTTTATCTATAGAATTATACGGAAGAAGAAGTCTATCACTCATTGACTTTAAGCAGCACTTGAATCTATAAATTCATTTGTTAACTTTGATCTCGTCCATGCTCTGCCATTGTAATTTCACTAAACATAATAAATCTCAGGAATCATTTATTGAGTCTTCAGCCACTTCAACAATTTCACTCAACAAGTTCACTCATCATCACATTGATGATGTTATGTTTGGTAAATAATATTTCCAAAACTATGTGTACCCTATGAGTACATTTTTATTATATTTCTTTAAACATATTTGTCAAGAGTTTTTGATTGTGTAAGTTAGATGCACATGTCTGGGTATACTTCATTATGGACCATTGGACCAATCTTAAATTTACTTTGAAAAAAAGGTCTGACCCTGGTAAAAAATCTCCCGGATTCCATTTGTAATATACTACTTTCGGATCATTTATTCACAGATATCTTAAACATATGTTTTTGATGATTTTGTTAATGGCAACAACAATGGGTTTCTCATTGAAATAAACCCCCACATCTGCTTCATAGTAGTCATAGTGAATATTCAGTCAGGTGTTTTATTGACTTTTGAAAATTAATGATTGACCAAATAAAATTATAATCATCCAAACTGGAACACCATACAAACAAAATTGATTATAAATTGTTTTGAAAATACATTTTAAATGTTATCATAACCCTGCTTCAAATGAGTCTCGGTATTATGTCTGTACTTCGTTGACTCTGTCTCTAACACATTTTTCTCAGCAACTGCAAATCAGAGTTTCTTGATATTTGTTAAATTATTTTGTATTGGTAAGCTGTACTGTCATTGACGGTGTTTGGCATATGCATTACTTTTCACTCAAAACCAAGAGTATAAACTATTGAACAGTTGCGCTCACTTCATTTTGTTTAAACAGATCACATGATTTGACTGAAAAGTACACAGTGCTATAAAATATGTACACTGAGTTTATGATGAAAAAGGTTGTTTATAGTTCTGTGATATAATTTTATGTACAATTTGAGTGACTTTGTTATACACATTTTTATGTGCATGTATGACTGTGTTTTTGTTATCTGAAAGTTTGTATAACATGAACAATATGTGTTTTGCATTTAAAGAGATTTTTATACGTCAAAACAACACCTGATGAAAACTTTATATACAATAATTTAATCAGTTTTAATTTTGTTAATTGTTTATTTCTGTATCCCTATTTTCATATGAAATAATTTACAGATTCACTGTTTCCTTGAATGCTCAACAGTTAATTGTTGCCATGTAAAAATATTAATTTGGAAGAATTTGACAGAACAATTCCAAGTATGTACTTTAACATTTTACTTCATTTTCATAAATAATTTTGGAACAAGTTGAACCAGTCACAATTTTAATATGTAGAAAGTTTATCTTATCAATTTCTTTACAGATTTATCCTTTTAAAGGTTGTAAAACAATTGAAATGGAATTATATTAACTTTATTAAAAAAAAATCAGGTTATTTCTTAAGTTAACTTTCTTTAGTGCTTAGTTATTATCTATAGCTGTTTAACAAAAAAAAATATTGTGATTAACACTGAAATGTTCATGAGTTACAAAAATGGTTTCTCCTAAGATTTTTTTTTTTAGGAGAGGCTCTATAACTAGAATTATATTTATGGATACATTTATCAGTATTGAAATGATTCAAGCACTCATGAGCCTCTAGTGTTGTAACATAAGAAGAAGATTAGATTCTTTCTATACATGACAAGCATAGTAAACAAAAAGATTTACTGATGTTTATTTTATCATTTTGAAAAGAATTAAGAAACCTAAAAAAAGATGTTTTATTTATTAAAATACTTTGGTGAAAATTTGCAAATTAATCCTGCATTCAAATAAGTTAACTGGTAAAACAGTTTCTGTTTTCAACAGGATATTCAGTCACCTTGAGATTGAAATTAATTGTTCATTACCTTTTACCACAAATCATCTACAATGAGATTGTTGCTACATAAAAGTAAAGTATGAAGTATGCTTATTTCTTTTTGTAACACTTTTGAAAAATTTATATTGTTTACTTTTATGGGTTGTTACTAATAAAACAAACTTCTTGAGTTGCAAACCTTTTAACGTGACTACCTTTTATAGGATTTCACCATTAAAATGACTAGAAGAAACGTTTCAATTGTTTCAAATCATGCATCTGAAATCTTTTGGATTTTTAGATACATTAATTTTATCATCTGTCATTAAATGGTTATCATTACTTTTATCAATAAATGGTGCTATATTGAACACTTGTTATAGTTTTGTTTGGATCCAACTTTGCATTTTTCTTGTCCTGGGACTAAGCATGGTATGTACAGTATTGTAGATGATTTTAGAGGATGAAAATTATTCGTATGGGAAGTTCATACATTTTCACATTGTATTATAATTTTCATAATTTTGAGATATATTGACGAGCATGATGAGAACTATGAAATATTTCAAATTAAAGACTGCTAGTTTATTAGAAGTTTGAGGATCACAATTTTATATTTTCAATACTACAAAACACTTTTTTGAAATTTCAAATTACTTGCCAAAAGAGAGGTCTACTCATCCTTATTGAGCATTTCTGTTTTAAATGACATTTCATTAAATTTCCAGTGACACATGTATAAGTTATTGACACTAATGCTCTAGTATTTATTATTATAGTTATTTAATAACCTGCTGTTCTTGTTGTTATCTACTTTAGAGGAAAAGGATAACATATGGTAATTCCGTTTTTATTTGGGTATGAAAGATTGTATGAAATGCAATTAAAACCCTCTTGCCACTGTCTTGATAGTTAAATTTTCAAGGCTTCATCTCTATCTTTAAGAGCACATACACCTTAGTGCTGTGAAGTTAACATTCTTAAGATTCAACCCTTGTAATTTGTTATCATTACTACTATTACAAGAATGCTTTCGTGCAAATTTTTAAATAAAAGTTTTTGTATATTCGTTTTTGCCATGGCGCTGTCAGTTTGTTTTGGGACTAGAAATTTGAATACCCCTTTGATATCTTCTGCCTCTACTTTGGTACGACGAATTGGGTTATCACTGCAGTATATCAGTATTGTAACTTACTACAGAAAATGTTAAACCTAGTTTAGATGATTTATAGTAACTTTTATCCATTGGAGATTATTAATGGTGTAATAGAGTCAATTGCCGCGACACTTTCTACTGGACATTAGTGGTTAAGGATCTGTCACCTTCATGACTATTATTACCGTTGATAAATTTAGAAATTAATTGAAACTAAGCTTTCATCTCCCGCAGGCAAACTGTACCTCAAACTGTTTTGGCTTATATAAAAAAGAAGATGTGGTATGATTTCCAATGAGACAACTCTCCACAAGAGACCAAATGACACAGAAATTAACAACTATAGGTCACCGTACAGCCTTCAACAATGAGCAAAGCCCATACCGCACAGTCAGCTATAAAAGGCCCCGAAATGACAATGTAAAACAATTCAAACGAGAAAACTAACGGCCTAATTTATGTACAAAAAATGAACGAAAAACAAATATGTAACACATGAACAAACGACAACCACTGAATTACAGGTTCCTGACTTGGGACAGGCACATACATACAGAATGTGGCGGGGTTAAACATGTTAGCGGGATTCCAACCCTCCCCCTAACCTGGGACAGTGGTGTAACAGTACAACATAAGAACTAACTATAAAAATCAGTTGAAAGAGGCTTAACTCATCAGATGGATAAAAATACAAATACTACAAATACAAGTGGATGTGGCCGGGTACTTGTACATCCAAACATCAAAAAGACACTAAGTACAGATCTGAGAGTACTCGCAGTTACTGACAGCTAGTTCAAAGCCACTAACAACTAATAAAAAAAATCATGCATCTAAGACTAAATTATCAATCCGTATACATCCAACATCCAATGGATTTAGTGTAACGACGTCATAAACAGTCAGAGAAAAACATGACCTTGTGTAATGCCAAGATACAGGTATCGACAGATTGTAGATCCATGAATGTGTATATGTATATAACAATAATATTTAGTTTGCTTTTAATTTACTGATAACAAAATCAATATTAGTACCAATAAAAATAATATTTAATGATCTAATTACAGTGTTGAATTGGTAACCTTTTAGAATAAGTTTATTTAAAGGATCGATAGGTTTACCAGGATCGTTTCTAAATTTCCGGGCACGATAAACAATATTGCCGTAAAAATGAGGATGTGCAATCCCGTTTGAAATAAGTTTTCTACAGGTACAACCTGGGAACATATATCTAGATATATAGTCAATATATATGTTCCTGGTACAACCAAACTTCAAAACCAAATCATTATATCTGTGGAAGAATTTAGTAAAGGTTTTAAGTAATTTGTGGTAACGAAATCCCTGGCTTAATAATTTACCAGTAATACATAAATTACGTTCGTTAAAATCAAAAACGTCACAACAGACACGGGCATAGCGAACGAGTTGTGAAATATAAACACCGTAAGATGGTGCCAAAGGAACATCACCATCCAAAAGGGGAAAATTAACAATAGGGAACGAAAAATCTTTGCTTGTCTTTTTATGTGCTTTTAGTAATAAATTTCCTCAAGTAGTTATACGCCCTGACTTTACAATGTTTGGCGTTGGGCATTCCTGATGATGGTTATATCCAGAAAAGCACATCAGATGCATTAAATGTTTAAAATGTTTATTTATTTTCATTCAATAGTTTACTGATTTTATTTAGATAACATTACCAAAAGGGATGCATTTAAAAAAAATTATTTTCTTTGTCATCATCTAGAGTGTTTAACATATTTTATTCATAAACTAAAAGACCATGTTTTATAAAAAATTGTGAAAAAAATAAACTTAAATGAAAAGGTTTATATGAAGTAAAATACCAAAAATACCGAACCCTAAGAAAAATTCAAAACGGAAAGTCCCTTATCAAATGACAAAACACCAAAAGCTCAAACACATCAAACGAAAGGAAAACAACTGTCATATTCCTGACTTGGTACAGGAATTTCTGAAGCGTTTCTTTGATTTCACTACACCCTTTCATAAATGTAAACAATTCTATAGTACAAAGTTTCACAATGCTTCTCGATCTTCAGTTTATTCTTTTGTTTCGGATCAAGACAAATGGTGGATACCATTCAATTTAATAAGTCGGTTTTGTGCATGCTTAGAAAATTCTAACATTTGTAAGTCGTTGCTGAGTTTGTGTGCTGATGTTGCATACTGCAGTGCTAATTGTGGCATTTTAATTCTAAAATAATAATCACACTTTGCTAAATCTGCATGCATTTTCAACATTTTAGGCATATCTTTTATGTACTCTTCCAATAATTTCAGATACTTTTCTGCTGTTTTGATACCACCACTTGAAGGGTGTAGTATATCCATCATTCGTCCGTTATCACCACATTGAAGAAGCAAAATGACCAAACGACATAATGCATATCCGAAGCCAAAAGGACCGTCTTTTCCAACATCTCTCTGGAAATGACATATCGATTTCTTAAAACTGTTTTTGGCTTTGCTGTGTAACAGTTTACATGCCCTAGCTGAATTTCTCTGTTGAAAATTGATGCATCCAATTTGAATTGCAGAATATCTAGCATCATTTAGATACAACCAGCCAGCTGCATGGCCAGTGCAGCTTAAAGGATCTGATTCTACAATCATTTTAGCATCATCAATTGTTGTTTGGAATTTTTCAAACTGTCTCTTACTTAAAAACATTCTAGATTTGGCAGATAACAATTCTGTTGTAAAGTACTTAGGATTAGAAGTCTTTGGTACGATTTCGAGTGCGTTAGTTATCAGTTTCTTTGCCTTATCAGAATCTGCTCTAAAAAGCTCTCTACTAGCTTGTAAATACATGATCAAACAGTTAAGATCATAGTCGTCGGTATATTTATGCTTTAACCCATCGCAATAACACTGAAAAATATCAAATTTGCCCTCGTTAATTAATGTACTTAAATAGTTGAAAGCCACAAGTAAATGTTGGTGTTGTTCTAAAGGGGGCCGTATTGACAGATCTTTAAAAATGAATAGTTTTCTCGATTTTGAATTCCCCATGTAAGTCGACTGAAAACACGATCTTATATCTGTCTTAATACTAGATGTAGAATCTGTGTCTGAAAATGGTACAGGTGAAAGCGATGAAGACTTTTTGGACGGTCTCCGTCTGTTTCGTGAATGCCTTGGTCGGAAAGTTTGCACAGTCGAAAGTTTAGGATGATTTGACACTAACTGACGGCAATTTCTTTTATCTAATACTGAAGTCTTGAAGGACGTTATATCATCCGCCATGTAACATTTGCAGTCATCAGATGATATTTGCCCTACACATATTTTGCAAGGAAGATCGTTCATATATTTTTGATGACGATCATGAATACATGTATGCTTGGAACTCTCTGCACATTCTAAAAGCAATTTATTGGTTTGGAATTTACCTTCTTCTACTGTTTGGTTAATGATTGTTTTAATGAAATCATATTTTGAGTTGAAGGCTTCATTCAACACGGGAAGGACAATATCTTGATGGCATAGCGAAAGCAGGTATAATAGTTTAGAACATCTAGACCTTCTTGTTCTACATTCCCGGACAGTTTCGTACTCGTCTTCAGAGATAACTCGCTCCTTATACAGAATATCTAAAATATCATTTGGTTCAACATTTTCCAAAATCAGGGTTCTAATCCCATGCATAGGTACTGAACTAGTTGTATTGGATGAGTTCTGAATTTCATGGACATTTCTTTTCTTCGGAAATATTTTAGTATACCTGCATTGACCAGAGGAAATTTTCTCATTCAGAAACTTATACTTTCCTAGGTTAAGAGCTCGTGTAAAAGAGCTATAAGCTTTTGGACCACGTCGTGTAATTGTATCGATCAGTAATCTTGACCGTTCTTTCCTCGTTTTACCACTAAAAATTAGTTCACAATCCGTATTCGTCAGTATTTCATCTTCATGAAGGTAGTCTAAAATATCGCCAGCTTCAAGATTGTTGATTATGTCAGCTCTGTATATTCTCAAACGCTCCCTATCTTGTTTTTCCATTCCCGTTTACATATATACCTACAGAAGTGAGACATTTACAGTTAGTACCTTTCATATATTTTTCGCATAGTTTAAATGATACGAATGGAAATTGTATCATAATGAAAATAAAGTCCAAAAAACTGCATGAACTTATGAAAATGGAGCAGTTTTGACATTTTTCATATTTCTATTTTTCTGTATTTAAGTGTCAGAAATATATTTATTTGAATTTGACGAACTATGAATACCTTATACAGAAATTGGATTAGATATAACACACTACATAGAAAACTAAATATTGAACAGATCGATTAACGGTGTAAAGCACGAGCATACACCAGAGGTAAAACAGATATTTTAGTAGCTCCTGTTTCACGAGTGACTCTCGTCGTGTTGCTCAATGCGGAAAAATATTCGGTAATAAGTATTTTAAGATGCTACATAAAAAAGACCGGGAATATGGCTACGACCAGAGGAACATACCTGTCGTATTCAGTGATACATATATTTCATAAGATTAACCAAATGTTGATGGGCCCTTAAAACTTTCGAACAGATGACTTCATGTTACGATCACTAAAAATTATTTTTAAAGATTAAAAACAATTTGTGAATTCGAATTCGAAGACCTTACAACTGAACATACCTACTGTAAACAATTTAACGGTAATGTAGATAATTCAAATTAAATATATCCATGGTCATCTAGAACAGGACAGTAAACCAAATCATAAAGTTGTCCGTAAATAAGAAGCAACATTAATTGTATACCGGTGTTCAAATCTCGTTGATATTCTGAATATACACATTAAGTAAAGCAAATGAGTGAAATGCGTAAAATCAAAACGAAGCGAGACAAGGTGCGTCGATAGGTTAACTTATCACAAATCATTCAAATCTAGACTCAGCCAAACTGTCACGATAGCAAAGAGGACACACTCGGTAAATTTACTGATCAGATGACTTTTTAAGATCTAAGACTTCGAATAGATGTGAGTTGAGACACAGACAAATCGCATAAAGCCAATTCGTGATGATGACCATGCTATTTGTGTATATTTCAATCGATCTTCCTGATAACCATGCTGGAGGAGATTTTGCATTATGAGCACATCCGTGATGATGGAGTTCGTATAATATGAACATGTACGCACGTAAGGTATCGATTGAGATATTTAAACGAAATAAAATTGGACAGCAGTTATGTTACAACTGAGAAATGGAAAGTTGACATTTTGGGAAAATGCAATTGTACCGTTAAGTTCTGCTTCATATGACTACAACAAGTCGACCAATGGGATACATAATTACCACCCTTTGTAATAACTACTTTTGAAGAATTGATTTCAATTAACTTTTAAAATCACCAATTTATCGATATCTTCTTTGAGCGCAGGATTCCTCTAGCAATGCAATCACGATACAAAACGTAAGCTGACGTATCAACTTGGAGATACATTCTTCATTTGCGTGTGTTGCTGGGTTTATATACGTAAAAGCGAAAGTTCGCAATTACACACTGAATATCTTATTATTTATTCTAACCATTCTTTGAATCAAATCAATATAGCAATATACAAGCACAACCCCTTTTTTTTATTCTTATATACAAGTACAACCCATTTTAAAATTACATTTTTCATTAGTTTGTCGTACCACTTCACTTATTTTCCCTGAGTTTAATGTACAAAAAGTAATGATGACAGTATTATAAATAAGGACGTAAACGTTTATCTGTCTGTTTTATGAATGACACCTGCAAAGTACAAAGATGTCTTGTACACACGTGGAAGAAAACATGTAGAAATCCGTTAGAATAAAGTGTTACAGTATCCTGCTTTTAGTTTAACTTGATTTGTCTCTTTCCTTTTTCTAATCGTTTTACGAGATTTGAATATCGATCTACAACTGTCACCTTAATTTGATATTTCACCTTTAGGTCAGGGTCAATTACTTTTTTCCCCCAACATTTGACACAACTCTCGCAATTAGACTATATGCTTCAATGAGACTTATCGTGGTTTATCTACTCATGACGTCTTATATAAAAATAAGGAGATGTGGTATGATTGGCAAGGAGACAACTATCCACCAGTACCAATCATACCACATCTCCTTATTTTTATATAAGACGTCATGAGTATACCAAATGATGGTAGATAAACCAAGATAAGTCTCATTGAAGCATATAGTCTAATTGCGAGAGTTGTGTCAAATGTTGGAAAAATAAAGTTTCGAAAATATTTTGGTATACCAACACCATAATGGAACTGAACACCATCAACATAGTTATTGCGATCCTAAGTGAAATTATGTTAGGTCTTTCGATTATGAATAAACGTTCCCAATCTGTGAACGTGTAAACTACCAACTACGACAATTATCATCGTAAAATTAAATTCTGTCTAAATAAACTATAGAATTTAAAATATCCGGCGCTTCAGCAGACTCAAAATCACTCACTAGACACAATATCAAGCAGACAGGTGCAAATTACTGCAAATAATGGCTATATGAATATCCGATGTCACATAACATATTGATGTTATATAATTGTCCACAGAATACGGTCCTATTCTTCTCGAAACAACAATGTAAACGTACTATTTAAACACAAATTACACAGATTGTAATAATAAATATAATTTTAGTTCCAAATTTTTCCTGCCACTTTCTACATGTATCTGCACTGAAGCGCCTTCTGAGATCAGATTACATGATCAGGGGAAGGATCTAAGTATTAGCATTTCTCCAATATAAAGTCAAAGAGTTATTCCGCTTTCTATAGTATCGCCAAGTTTGCCAAAAAATCATTTTTAATAAAAATTAGCATTGAGCGCAGGATTCCTCTAGCAATGCAATCACGATACAAAACGTAAGCTGACGTATCAACTTGGAAATACATTCTCCATTTGCGTGTGTTGCTGGGTTTTTATACATAAAAGCGAAAGTTCGCAATTACACACTGAATATCTTATTATTTATTCCAACCTTTCTTTGAATCAAATCAATATAGCAATATACAAGCACAACCCCTTTTTTTTATTCTTATATACAAGTACAACCCATTTTAATGTCAAATAAAATAAAGTAGTAAAATTACATTTTTCATTAGTTTGTCGTACCACTTCACTTATTTTCCCTGAGTTTAATGTACAAAAAGTAATGATAGCAGTATTATAAATAAGGACGTACACGTTTATCTGTCTGTTTTATGAATGACACCTGCAAAGTACAAAGATGTCTTGTACACACGTGGAAGAAAACATGTAGAAATCCGTTAGAATAAAGTGTTACAGTATCCTGCTTTTAGTTTAACTTGATTTGTCTCTTTCCTTTTTCTAATCGTTTTACGAGATTTGAATATCGATCTACAACTGTCACCTCAATTTGATATTTCACCTTTAGGTCAGGGTCAATTACTTTTTTCCCCCAACATTTGACACAACTCTCGCAATTAGACTATATGCTTCAATGATACTTATCGTGGTTTATCTACCATCATTTTGGTATACTCATGACGTCTTATATAAAAATAAGGAGATGTGGTATGATTGGCAAGGAGACAACTATCTACCAGATTTCCTATGAAGTGGATATAAACAATTATAGGCGATTGTACGGCTTCAACAATATGAAGAACCCATACCGTATAGTCGGCTATGAAAGGCCCCGTCATGTAAAATGTGAAACAATGTAAACGGTCTAATTTATAACAAAATAATTTATGAAAAACAAATATGGCAGGCATGAACCAACGAAAACCCCCGAACCACAAGCTCCTCATTGTATTAACATATGAACGTCTGTACATTTTGTAATCCATCAGTCATGATAATCCGTTGTGCATTTCAAGGTTTGATTTTAAAAATATACAGCATACGTTGTAGTTATGAAGATTAAATTTGGCCGGAAAATTTGTGATCTAAGTCTATACAAAAAAAGAGATGATTTTTTAATGAAACACCTATCCAAATAACGTGGATGTAAGAAATTTTAGGTCACCATACGACCTTTAATAATGAGCAAAGCGCATGTCGTATATTCAGTTGCAAGTATAATAGGCACTGGACAAGAAAACCGCGACCCTTGGTTTATGAATTTTTTTTTAACAAAAACAAATATCACAGACCTACCAACAATAACCACTGAATTAACTTCTAACTAAGGATGATTGCCAATGAGACAACTATCCACCAGAGTCCAAATAACGACGCGGATGTATGTACATTACAATAATATAGCAAATAAACCGACAGAGTTATTGATCAAAACTATCCTTTCCCAACTGTAAAATCAATGTTCATAATAAAATCAAATTTGTCGGTAAAATTCTATCTAAACAAGAAGATATTAGTAATAAACATACTGTTACATAAACAAAAAAGTAGAAAATATAACAGAAACATAACATTGAATAAAAGTAGAACAACGAAATGAATGATTGTGAATCAACATTTATTTTAACTTTCGATTATCGTTTTCAACAGCGGATGACATTCATTTTCAGAAGTGGGAAAAAAAATGACAAAATATTTAATAATAAGAAAATATAAGATAAATTTATACTTACACTTGTTCATTAAATGGCCAGTAAACTGAGTGAATTGCATTGTTTCATTGTAAAATTACCCAACTATTCTAAATTTAGAAAAATATCAATGGGAAGGAAATTCGTGAAAATTTGAAAGATATTACAAACTTACAAAGATATAGCTACACGATTTCATCATGCTTTCTTTCTTATGTAATTGAACTCAATTAGTAATAGCTGTTCTTAAAGTAAAATATGCGCCCAAATAAAATTCGTATTACCCTCACTTGATAATTAAGTGCGTCATCATGTGATAACATTACCAGGATTACGTAAGCGTATGTCACATGTTTAAAAATATCATATCAAACAACAAGAATTACAATAACTTAATATATTGTTTGGGTTGTGATTTTACCTTTCGCGTAGATTATCACTATTTATCCATAATGTAAAATTGATAAATATAAACCAAATGGAAGTATGCAATATACATTTAATA